AAAATTGCTGTTAGATATTATCGATTAGGTAAATGTGATGCTCCACAAGATTGGAGCCTTTCAGCATTAAAAAATACTAGACTAAGGTGCTAACTCAGGAAAAAAAAGAGGTTTTGATTTCCATTGTACATTTAAAGCCTATCTAGGTTGGCAGAGCTACCAGTTAAGGCTCAGGCAGACCAGCAGACTGCCAATTCTAGTTCCTCCTTAGGCACGAAAACTGGCTGGGTGATATTGGGCCAATCACCAGGAAATTTTGAGTTCTAGTCCTCCCTCAGACATAAAAGCCATCTGGGCCAGTCACTCCCTTCTCAGCCCAAGCCACCTCACAGAGTTGTTGTGGGGAAAAAGAGGAAGGAGAATTATATATATATTCATGACCTTGAGTTATTATTATTTATTATTTATTATTTGGGCTTGTATGCCGCCGTCTCTCCAAAGGACTCAGGGTGGCTCACAACAATAAATACAAAATTCAATTATAAAATATAACAAATATAAGAACCTGTTAAAATCACATTTAAAACCCCTTCAATCCAATCTGGCCAGGCCAAATAACCATGTTTTAAGATCACGGCGGAAGGAGCGAAGGTCAGGAGCCACCCGGAGCTCCAGGGGGAGCTGATTCCACAGAGTAGGTGCGCCACAGAGAAGGCCCGCTCCTTGGGAGTCACCAGTCGACACTCTCTGGCCGACGGGACCCCAAGGAGTTACTTATAAAGTAACAAAAGGCAGGATAATCTAATAATAAATAAATCTTTTTACATGTTTACTGCTCATTATTCATTTGCCCAAATATGCATCTCCTATTTTAATGATGCAAAAAAGAATAAACAGAATATTCCCAAACTACTTCTTAAAAGGAATTTATAAAGCTGTATTGGTTACGGTTCATGTGTCAGTTGAAAACTGCCTTCTGTTGAGTTGAAGCACTGATTAATACATGTACTCCCCCATGACTTGTTTGTGGCTTTCCAAAACTTTAAGGGAATCTTTCCAGTTCCTGCTTGAAAAATCCAAAAATGCTTTTCTCATACATGAAGATATGTTGCTGAACTCTTACTGCAGGCTATTTGCTCTATATTTTTATTTTGTTAAATTCAAGGCTTCCCATTTAGCTTTATTTATTTAAGATTTATATGCCCGCCTAATCTTAAGTAACTCTGGAAGTTTACAACAACCAATAAATGAAAGAAGAATAAAAGATGAAAATAAACAAAAACCCTGTGCCATAATTGTGGTTTACATGGAACTATTGCTTTGAGAACATTGCAAGAACACATTCATGTGTGACATTTTCACTCTATTGAGCACACGGACTGCTGAATTCCGATGTTTTCCACTCTGTGTAGCCCATCTGATGTTTTTTCCAGTCAGTTCTAGCATTAGATGAAATTGCAAAATGGATGCTTTACTCTACAGGCTTGGTGACAGACTATTTCCCCATTGATAAACTTTCTTGCCTCACTGCCTTCTGTTGCTTGAACTTATATATTTCACAATCTTACTTATTTAAAAGATTTAGATGGCCCAGACTTCCGGCTGTACTCCCAACGCTATCGGAAGCAAGGACTGCGAGCTCCGCAGCCCCATTCTGAACTCTTCCTGGCAGAGGGCTCCAATTGGAGCCATAGCCACCCTGGAGGGTCATGAAGTAAAGGGGGACCACCTTGCAGGTCGAGGAAAGCCACATCTCTCCTTCCTGACTCGGAAAGCCCCCTCATCTGAAGACGGGGAGAAGCAGCAGCAAACATGGCTGCCATGAAACTGGGGATAGTCTGAATACCTAGACAGTGCAGGAACGAAGACACAGTGAATGGTTTGCGAACTGGATGAGAGAATTATTTTGTTGAAATTGGACCCCATGAAATCTAAGGGGAATATATATTTAGAACTATTTGTCATAGAGACGTGCAAACACTTTGAAAAAATACTGGAGAATTTAAGAAGAGAAAATTTGTTAAAAAAATAAATAGAAAATTGAACTCTCAAAGCAAAAAGGCGTGGTACCGAGAAGACATATTAAAATTATGGTTTCAAATTTTTTCTTATTAATACTGTCCATTTACTGGATTTATAATTGAAAATAATTAAATTGGACTTGTCAATAACAAAGCAGAGGCTGAAGCAGGTTGCAGAGTTCCATCTGCTGATGAAAGAGGAACTATGCAACTTGGGAATAACCATTGAAAGGACTGAAAACATTTATTGAATTACATGTATCTACTCTAAGATTTGATCTACCACTGAAGATTTGAATATTTATTTATTTATTTATTAGATTTTTATACTGCCCCCTCTCCCGAAGGACTCCCGAATTCAAACAAGAATTTTAGCTAAGAGTCCCCTGAATATTATTGAACGTATAAAAGTGACTAAAGGAGGCGTGGATAATCTCCTGGTGTATTAAAATTGATTTGACTCACACTGATGAGACATTAAAATTGTGACCTGGAAGCTCTGCTTTTGAATCAACAATTCCTGGACAATTGGCTAAAGAGACCTCTAAAACAAAGGAGCAACGCAAGGCGAAAGTGAGTGGAGATCCAAACAGATGGAGTTAATGTTTCAAAGTATTAAGGACCTTATACAGGAACAACATAAGGAGATGGTGGAAATATTTTATTGCATAGACCAAAAACTGGAAAATATTATACAAGGGACAATGAACAAAGACCAAGACAATGAGGAAAGAATGGAGCCATCAGAAGGAATGGAGGGGAAAGCAGAATTGAGAAACCAGCAAAAAGAAGACAAGGAGGAGATATCACCAAAATCAATAATGATTAAGGAATTAAAACAGGGGAAAATCACTTTAAAAGATTTAAAAAGGAAATGGGAGGAACAGGACGATGTTTGGGGGGAAAAGATAGGGGCTAGAACAGAAAGCTTTAAAACTAGACAGTGGGAAAGGGTAGAGAGGGGAGAAAAAGTTAGATCGTATAATCAGAAAATAGATGTAGAAGTAGATGGAGTAAAAGATTTAAGAGAGGTCTATGGGAGGCAAGCCAAGAAAAAAATAAGACTAAAAATTTCGACATGGGCAAGAGATGATGGATAAGGTGGGAAAAAAGAGTAAAAGATTTTCTATGAATGTATTTTAATAATGAGTATTAATATTAGAACTATATAGGATGGATAATTATTTTGTATGTAGTGCAACAGATATCAGGATAAACACTTTAATAAAAATAGATGTGAAGAATAAAATAGGGGAATTATAAAAAAATTAAGAATATTTTTTAATGTAAACATGAATTACACAGATTGGAAAAACATGAATAGATGTACTTTAAATGTTTAAATGATTGATATTAGAAGTGCACATTGAGACATTGAATAATGAAAGAATGAAGGATGAAACTTTAATAGATGTGAAGAGCTAAATAAGGGAAATATGGATAATAAAACAGATGAAAGATGTGAAATAGAAAAAAAAGTCTTTGACTATTATAGTGATATTGCGGGAAAAGTTAAAAAAGAGATAGAAATAAGAGGGGAATAATAGTATATACAGTATATATTAACATATTAAGATATATTAAAGAAGGTGGTTTAGGAACTGAAGGGTAGTAGTTTTATTTATTTATTTATTGGTTCAATTTATATGCCGCCCCTCTCCAGAGACTCAGGGCGGCTTACAATGCATTAAAGCAATAGTTAAGGGCATGTGTAAATAATATGAAATAATGAAAATGAAATGTAATAATTATGAGTAACAATATTATGTTTATTTGTATTGAAATGTATGATACCCAGGTATCACACTATTCACACATTGATATGTATAAATAATATAAAATTTAAAAAATTGACTAAAACCAGATTTAGATGGCCCAAATCTTAAGCAACTCTGACAGACTCACAAATTTGTCATTAAATCACATGTTAACCCTTCTGGTCGGTTTCTATATCTATTCATACTTCCTTTTTTAAATTTTCCTAGTATGAGGGTTGCTATGTGTGTAAGTAGTAAGTACTGAAATCTTGCCCCAGCCCACTCACTGAACTGTGTTTTTACAATATTCTTTGGGTCAGGTGGAGGGAACATCTGGCATTATTTTATTCATATTTATATGCCGCCCTTCTCCCGAAGGACTCAGGGCGGCTCACAACAATAAAACAACAAAACAATAAATTAATGTTAAAATAATCCAATTAAAATCCCCCAACAGTTAGAACTAAAAACTCCCAGATCAGATTTGCTGAAAAAGCCATGTCTTCAGGCCACCGCGGAAAGAGCGGAGGTTGGGGGCCGTCCGGAGCTCAGTGGGTAATTCATTCCAGAGGGTCGGTGCGGCCACAGAGAATGCCCTCCTCCTGGGCGTCACCAGCCGACATTGTCTGGCCAATGGCACCCGGAGGAGGGCAGCACTTTGTGAATGCACTGGGCGGTGGGAGGCCGGTGGGAGGTGATCCTGCAAGTACCCCGGGCCCATGCCATGTATCAATGTAGTCTCAGCTTTCTCAGGTGGCTAGAAGTAAAGACAATTATATGGCTGGTTCAAGAGATTTTGGAGGAATTTGGGAATTTCAAAGTTTTAGTAGTCCTTGTTTACCAACTTGTTTAGTGACCATTTAAAACTGGAACAGTATAAAAGAAATTGTGACCAATCCCTCACATTTATGACTGTTAAAAGAGTACCCCTGTTGCACTTGAACACATCACAATTGGCACACATTTACAACTGGCAGTGTCCCAGTCATGTGACTGCCATTTTTGTTCTTTCCAACTGACTTGTGACAAGCAGAGCTAATGAAGAATATAGAAGTAAAATCATAACTTATCGTGTGATGTTTTTCTTAATGACTGCGCTGACCTACCTAACAATCAAATGGAAAGTGATATTCTAAGTCCATTGCAGCCACTGCACTTATTGGAAAGTGATTTTCTCTCCGCAACATTTAGCAGTGGAGTTGCCCGTTTCAATTCTAGTCACTAAGTGAGGACTACCAGTGAAAGATGTGGAAAATGGAAATAAAGTGTTCAACAGCCAAAATAAAAAAGGTTCTTGCTTTATTTAAAATCACCAGTAACATAAAAATAAAACATTATAAGATGTGGAGAACAATGGCACAATAGTCTGAGCCTGGGATTTTTCAGTTTACTACACAGAACTAAAGGACACCGTTTAATGCCAGGGGCTAGGATCCTCCCATAAATTGGGCTTTGATTTAACTTCTAGAATACAATGCTACCTGGGAGTGGAATATGACTTATATGGCAGATATCAGTCTGGTGGGAGTCTGAATCAAGGTAACTAAAATCCATTCTTTATGGATTTTTTTAGAATGGAAGTTGAATGACACAAACCATTGGAGGGTTTAACTTGAATGGCAAGGAAATAATGAGCTGGCTCCATTATTACGTTCAGCTGACGAGGCAGATAAAATAACAATCCTTGTTATATGCTGGGCCTGGAGGAAATGGAGAAAACAAACTGGAACTTGGTATCAAGTTAGCACACAGTTCATCTCCTGAGTCACATGTCTCCTCCTCCACGTGCTCCATTCTGCCCTCTCTTGCTTTAGTGTCCTATAAAGCACTACCCACACGTGGTATCTGAAGGAGCAATTTAGAGAATACCTGGCTTTAGGTCACAAACATACATCAGTTGGAACCCATTCTACAGTCACAACGGTAACACCTTCAGATCTATAAAGGCTAATTAGATTACTAACTATCCAACACAACCTAGATAAGCTATAACTTCAGCCATACAGCCATCAAGGATGTGCTTGCACAGGAACAGAAGGTTTCACAGAGCTTCAGAATAGGTCACCTTGCTCCAGAATATGAACCTCCATTCCTAAATCCATGTATTCTGCATATCTTCATAGCCATGATTCCACAAACTTCCTTTTCTTGAATGTTCAAAACAGAAGCACATTTCCTTAGGGGAACAGTCTTCATCCATCTGTTGGGACAGTTTTAAATACTACAGGCTAATATCGACAAGTAAAATATTTCTTTTAACTCCGCTTATATGCAAATGTTGAGAGTTTTGCAAAGGTAGACTGGTTGAATCCTTTGGATTTTTTAACAGAGCCCACATCCTCTTCCGAGTTTTGTTCTTGGCCTTCTTGCTCTTTATTGTTAACATCCTCTGGGCGCTTTCGCTTTTTCCCTTCAGATGGATCACTGGTTTCTCTACCTTTGGCTTTCTCCGTCCAAACCTTACATTAAGGGAAACAAAAACAGAACAGTAAAACTTCTACAATCGCTATTAAATTATAATATTGTCATTAATTAATGTAACTTCCCCATAAATATTAAGCTCCTATGTATGTGCGTAATGGAGACTATAATTTTGAAGGTCCTTCATGGAACACTGCCTTGTTATGGCAAAGGGGCTTGTTCAGCTAAAAGAAGCTATGAGCTAAGCCATGCATTGGGCCACCTAAAGTCATAGCGGAGACAAGTCATAGCAGAGAGGTCTGACAAAATGTGGTTCACTGGAGAAGGAAATGGCAACCTATTGCCAAGAAAACCCCATGGACATTATCAGTAGGCTAGTGGAAGATAGGACAGCCTGGTGTGCTACAGTCCATAGGATCGCAAAGAGTCAGACATGACTTAATGACTGAACAACAAATAATAATATTGAAGACATTAGCAATGGAACCATACTGGAATTTGTCAATTTTGAACCTTTACAAGCGTGACAAAATTATTCTTAATTTCCCAGAAATCAGGTATAGAAAGAATAAGACCAGGTGGCTGAATGATCTGGCACTGAAGCAGTGGCATGAAATGGCCTTGTATATTTTCATTGCAACGTGTTCCAGGTACTTCAGCTGAGTGTGGTTTCAAATTAGTACTGAAGTAGTATTACAGATAATCAGGTTCAATCATTCAGCATTAATTTCAATGAATTATTTTGACCAATCACTCTCTTTGCTGAATTTCTACATAGGATCATTGCATTGTTGCAACGGGCAAGAAAAAAAAACTTATTGGAGAAGAGGCAAGATAATGTACGAAATGGATTATTAGTCAAACATGCATCCAGAGGAGGAACTCCACACATTATCTCTGGGGGGAAAAAAGGACTACATTCTACTTCCTGCTTTTTACTTGTAAAATTGTGTGACTTCAAGAAAAGTGAAAAAAAGAATTCATGCAGTCTTCAACTTACAATCACAATAGGGACCAGAATTTATGTTGATAAGCAAGGCAATTAGTAAGTCGTGCCTGGTTTTACATATTTTTTTTTGCCATAATTGTTAAGCAAATAATTGTAGTTTTCAAATGAAGCATGTAATCATTAAATGAATCTGACTTCCTCATTGACTTTGCTTGTTGGAAGCTGGTTGGGAAAGTTGCAAAGAGCAATCTTGTGACCCTGGGATCCTGCCACTGTCATAAATACATGTAGTTGCCAACGCCCGAATTCTGATCACGTGTCTGTGGGGATGCTACAACAGTTGTTAAGTGTGAGGAGCAGTCCAGTGGCATTGTGACTTTGAACAGTTGTTAAATGAATGGTTGTAAATTGAGAACTCCCTGTACATTTTTACATGGTAAGCAAAGGCATAATCCGCCAAAAAAAGATTCCATTACCATCCTTTCCTCAGCAGATAAACCTCTGTATCGAACCATGCCTTCTTTTATTATTTCTGTTTCTTCAAAATGAGGATTATCTGATAAAATACTGCTTCTGTTCTCTTCTAGCCACATCTGGAACCCAGTCTTTGGCCTAAATACAGTACAGATGAGAAAAAGATATTGAAATAAAACCTTTATGCTACCTGTGAACATTTTTATTCCCAAAAGGCAGAGTCATCTCACAACAGGAATGTGAGACTCTTTGGCATACTGACCTTTTATTATCTTTGTTCTCAGTCACAGTTTGAAGTTCAGATTGTACAGTGTCATTTTTGTCCTCTCTATTTTCTCTGACTTTCTTTTCAGTAGTAAGTGCTCGGGGTTGGAAAAATGCAGTTGCTGCAGGCTGAGCAATGAAATATATATACTTCAGTAATTCATCGTAAATGGCTGCTTTATATATCACATTTCATACTCTTTAGCTTCTCAGAGCAAGAAGCTCTAATTTTGATAAGCATCCATTTAACTCCTAAGGGAAAATATTCTTGCAGTAATTTTTTACTCAATAGTTTTGGAAGCAGTAATATTAATTACAATGGAAGGAGATGGTGAGATAAATAAATACAGTACATAAAGGTTTAAGCAGTGCAGCAAACTATGATTTAAATGGAAAGTAAGCATGTTAACTGTACTCTAATTTAATTTAAAATAAAACAAATGTAATTTTTGCTTTGGGCCCACCCATTTTCTTGATTGCTGACTGTTTAGAGTGCAGCTTCTATAAAATCTCTAGGACTAGAAAAAAAATTACATGAGGTTTATTTCTCAATAGCTTTCAAATGAGAAATGTTGTAGTTTTATTTGTTTGTATCCTACCTTTATTATTTTTACATATAACTCAAGGTGGCAAAGACATCCAACAAACCTTCCTCTTCCTATTGTCCCCACAACAACAACCCTGTGAGATGGATCGGGCCGAGAGAGAATGACTGGCCCAAAGTCACCCAGCTAAGGTGGGACTAGAATTCACAGTCTCTCACTTTCTAGCCTGGTGCCCATTAGACCAAACTGGCTCTAGTAAATATAAACAGTATATAAGCAGTAATTGAAAAGCAAAAAATGTTTGCTATTAAGAGTATTTGTATATATTTAAATCCAAGTATGTATACCACTAATATTCTTTTATGTGCTCTAAACAAAATTAAAATGTTTAAACATCATGTCTGGCCCACTTTCAACTGTATTATACAAACCGTCTGTTTCACTTCCTTGCCTACCTTTCTTATTCAGCCACTGCATGGCAGGGAAAGAAACATTTCCTGAGTGTAAAATTTCCTTTTACTACTCAATTAATACTAAGACCATCTATTTTCAAACTTGATAGGGAAACAAAAAATAGGAATCCATTTGATACCAGTATCCTGCCCTACCTTTTCCAATCTTTTTTCCTGCCAATCAGTCTTTGGATAGTCCTTGTGCTTTCATTACATTTCTAAGACTTGCTACACCCAATAACAATAACTTTGCCAAGATCTGTTTCCACAAAATAAGATAAAGGTCCAATCCATCACCTGCTTTGACTTGGGCTTGGGCATCAACGGTTTGATGATTGGACTATTCTTGTTTGGAACTCCTTGACCATTCATTGTGGGATTTTTCTTAGGCAGCCTTGTCAGGTTATCCAGAATATTGGGCGAGTGAACAAATGCCTCTTTTTGGCTACTGGATACCTACAGCAGCAAGAGATTTAAGAACACATTTTTCCCTTGCAGGATCTCAACAATATCTTACTTAAAAATAAAGTAAATTAAAGCCATCAGTTCTCACCTTAAAAGGATTTACTCGTATTGAGTTGTTAGATGCAGTGACAGCTTTCATTAACCAAAAAAAGGGGGGGGAGGGGAAGCAAGAGAAAAAGAATATCAGTGCAAATTTACCAAACACTTAATATACTGCCTGTGTATTAAGAAATTATACTAAATGATTTTTATTTACAAGAATTAAGCAGGACTTTTGATATAGCCCTGCCTCTAATCTTTAAGACATGAACAGAAACTTGTCTCTAGATGTTTGAGTTATGACCAGGCATTAACATTCATGCTTTATTACTGTTTATTTTATTTTATTTCCCCCACCTTTTTAATTGTGTTGTGAATCTTGATACGTTATTTCATATAAAATTTGATATAATTACAATTTTTTTAAAACATTCTATTAATTAGATAACTTGAAAATTGGAAACTAAAGAGAAAAAGTAGATATTATATAAATATAAGCTAAAATAAAAAAATGAATACACTGTGACTTGCATTAAGGTATTTGTTAGTGGTAGTACTCAATTTACGACCATTCATTCGAAGTTATGGCACTGAAGAAAATGACTTATGACTGTTTTTCACATCGATGACTATTACAGCATCCCCATGGTCACATGATCAAAATTTGAGTGCTTTGCAATTGGCAGGTATTCATGACAGTTGCATTGTCCCTGGGTCATATGATCACCACTTGCAACCTTCCCAGCTGGCTTCTGATAAGCAAAGTCAGTAGGGAAAGCTAGAGTTGTTTAACGACCACGTGATTCACTTAACAACTGTAATGATTTGCTTAATAACCTGTGGCAAAAAGGTGGTAAAATGAGGTGCAATTTGGTTAATAACTGCTTTGCTTTGCAATGGAAATGTTGGGCTCAATTTTGGTCATAAGTCGAGGACTACTATAAAGATTTTGGTCTTAACCTGAGTTACTTAATATCAAGATCTCTGTTGTCCTGGTGTGTGTGAGAGAGAGAAAGGGGGGGGGGGGGGGGGGGAGGGGGGGGGAGAGAGAGAGAGAGAACCCACAACCCACAATAAAAGGAAAAAAAATGAACAACGAACTTTTAAAAAAAGAATTATTAATTTTTCAACTTTTTCCTTTTTATACATCTGATTTGCAATATTTGCACAATTTACTTTACTTTTTGTCACTAAATACTATGGTCTCTCAGCAATTTACATAACCTTATTACAATGTTGCAAGGAGAAACTTGGTTCTAATGAGGGGCACAAGATTATGCTAAAAACCTAGCATTCTTTTGCATGACACTGTTTCTGGATAAAAAGTCCCTGGGACAGTGCAGCCCTTCATTTGTGAAACTGAACTGATACATCACAGTCCAACAGTAAACTATACAACAGCAACATTGGAAGTAATAGAGCTCTCTATTAATCGGGCAGCAAGATTTCAATGGAGGAACTATTGAAGAAAAATTTGAATGATGTATAAATGTTTCCAATTGATTTCATCAGTTTAAAAGATGTTAATGAGAAGAAAAGCATTTAACAAATTGTGTAGGAGTATGGTTGCATAGCTGAAATCTAATATTTGGACAAAATGTTTAACAATTAAGGGGTTTTTCCTTGCCTAAAATAAATTCAGTTACTTACCAGACTTTGAAGCAGATGTATTTCCATGCAGCGTGGGAGAGCCTTCAGAAGAATTAAAGTAGAGGAAACATTAATATTCCAGAGGAAATATTTAAAACATTTCCCAGTTTAATTGAGTATGATTATACGTGATAAATATTGAAACAGAAAGGATGTACAATAGGGCTACAAATGCACTAGACTATCACTTTTGAACTTCTCACCCCTACTCTTAACTACTCTTCCTCCTCCTCTTCCTCCTAGCATTTTTCTCGCAGGTGCAGTCTGCTTTTTGGATCAACAAGAACCATCTTGTGTGACCAAACATAGCATCCAGGTCTAACCAGGCATTTTTCATGTCTGCATTTATTGTATCTTGCTTCAGCCTTCCATGTGGGGGCTTACCCTTTCCTCATAACTACTCATAAAAATGTTCAGAGCTCTTCCAATGCCATCACTGTGCCACCAGAGAATCTCTGACAGGGCCCTCTTCAGGCCTGCCTAAGGACAATTTGTGAGGACTCCCAACTCCTCACAAATTGCCCATCTCTGTTCCATGGGGTGATCCTTCTCTGAAAGGACTACCCAGCCTTCAGAGTCTGAATTTATAACCATATAGCCTTCTGCTTTAATATTCATGGATGCTTGCTGAGCTTACTAGATTTTGCCTCATGAAGGGCATTCACTTTCTCCTCATCCTCTTCGTGGGTCTCCATATTTTGCTGGCATTGAATGTTTCTTTCTTGAGCACAACTCCATTCTGTGGGGCTGTTACTGTACCTGCATAGAGAGAAACTAAGTCAGCCAATGCACTTCTATTCCTTTGCTTAAACTATCAAGAAAAGGGCAACTGCCACGCATCCCCTACAAGAAAAGCCAGGTTTAACAAGAATGATAAAATAACTCCTTTCCTTTCCATTATACAGGCTATCCTGGTCCTCATGGAATCAATTACTGAGTCATTCCCATTAAAATAATAGTACTTTTTCAGTTTTCCAAAAACCGAAAATGTGATAATCTGTGCTACTGCCCAGAAGATTCACTTCTTTACAGGCTACTATACTTTGTTTCCTTCAGTGGCAATAGCCACCAGTGGATTTGTCCAGAGCCTTTTTCTCCTTTCTTAACTGCATCCGTCCCTTTCTTCCATTCTGCTTCAAAGTTTCCTCTTTCCATTTACCTAGAAGCCTTTAAAAGGGCTGGATTGCTGATTTTTCCCGTCCTGTCACCAGATCAGTTGCACTAGGGTATTGTCTTGGGTTTCAAAGTACGCTACTGAATCCAGGCCTTGGGTTTTTGATATTATACAGGTAGTTCTCAACTTACGACAATTGGGAAGAGGCTTTCTGTTGCTAAGCAATTGAGTTGCACCCAATTTTATGTCTTTTTTTGCCACAGTTGTTAAGAAAATCATTGCGATTGCTAAGTGAATCAGGCAGCTGTTAAGCAAATGCTGCTTCCCCCACTGATTTTGCTTCTTGGAAGCTTCTTGGGAAGGTTTCAGATGGTGACCATGTGACCCTGGGATTCTGCAACCGTTGTAAATACATGCCTGTTGCCAAGTTCCCAAATTTTGATCCCATGACCATGGGGATGCTAAGTAAGTGCAAGGACCACCTAGTTATAAGTCGCTTTTTCCAGCGCTATTTTAACTACAGTCGCTAAGTGAATGGTTAAAAGTTAAGCACTACCTGCAGTTGAGAGCCTTTGAACAGTAAATCTGACCTGATGGGACAGTTAAAAGATTTTTCTCCACAATGACTTAGAAAGCACCTGCCTAACTTCAAACACAAATGAAATTATAACAATTTGCTATGTGTTTGTGTCCCCTTTCAGAGTTCACTTTTACCCAGCATTTAGGTGGTTTCTAAAATCCGGCTGTTGCTTCTCTTCTTCCTCTTCTTGCTCAGCATACTCTTCAGCAGAAGCCAGCTCTGAGACCTTCTCAGCGGCAAGTTCACTGAGTTTCTGGGCAAGAATTAGCTTCCGCGAGCGAGAAGCATATTTGATAGCTAAGGTCGTGGCATTTTGTGTCATGAGTTCAGCAAGCTCCATACAGCGAAATTCACGTTCCAGTGTGCAAGATAACTATTTTTAAAGCAAGGAGGAAAAAAAGTTTTAACATTTATCAGAGAAATATTTATTTGGGAGGGTGGGGAAAAGAGGATGAAAAATGTTTGTTCTTTAAGCGAATAGAACATTCAGTTCCCATTCATTCTTTACTAGACAGAAATTCAAGGAATCCTAATACATCCATGAACAGAACAGAATGAGTCCCAGCTATTTTCTTATAAAGCCAGTTTGTAGCTATGAAAATAACTCCAATTATGATGCAGTAGTTAAAGTGAGCAACCTCAGGAAAACTGCATGTGAAACGTCCACTGAAGAAAAACTATACTTACAAACTATAATCCATTATTGTATAGTAGTTTTTTGAATTAAAAAAAAAATAGTGGATTCAAGAGATCCATCTCTCTTTCTGCTTTTCAAACATCTATTTCATGATGAGCCTTGTTTCCAGTTAGATATAATTGTGTGGGTAAAGACTAAACTCTTCACCTATCTAATAATTAACCTGCACAGCACATGAAAGCCACTAGGAAGCCTGAGTAAATAGAAATATGGGCTGAGGAAAATTCTCTTAATGGTCTTTCTCTTTCACAGGTTCCTCTCCGAAAATGGTCTCTCCTTTATATTTCAAGGAAGTTGAAGCAGGCTTATCTTGAAAAACAAATGGGTTTGGCCAGGATAGGCCATTTTTATTAGGATCCTGGCAAGTACAGATAAGTGTTAAACTCTCAGTCTTCACCCTATAGTTACAAGAATACTCGGGCTTCCTGAGGCTATTTATAAAACATGGTAGGATAGTCACACAATTAATTAATTTTATTTCTAGGTTGGCACTAAGAGCCTGAGCTTTGAACACAAATTGCTGGTCAAGGCAACTCATTTCCTGAGCCTGGTTTTCCTTTATCTCTGGATCTGGCCTTTTGGTTCCCAAAGCTCTTGCTACTCCTGACACAAATGCTTAGGCACATTCATCTCCTCTAGTTCAAATTTCTTCTGCCTTAGATCCTCTCCTTATCTGCAACTTGCTGCCAGCTTTATTCCAGTGCTTTGGTTCCTCTCTCTTACAGCAGTTCTGTCCACAGTCAAATTATCTAGGACCATGGAAGGAAGGCATGCAATGAAGCAGCATCATGACACAAAACTCACAAAAAGATGCACATTTCATCTTTTTGATGTTATCTCAGTTTGCTACGGACACTTGCAATATTTTTTTCTGTTGGCTGGCAAGAAAGTCCAGTTGCCTCTTGAAAGAGCACCTTTGGGGCAATGACTATTTAACTTACACTGAACATTACAGTATGTGTATTAACAAGTTACATTTTGCCTAGTTTTGTGCTTTAAACATTCCTTGTCCATTTCAGGGTTAATAAAATATAACAACTAGTCACATGGAATAAATGATTGTGTGGAACAGACAATGTTAAAAAATTACAAAGAAAAAGAAATAATTGAGTGGGATTTTTTATTTAAGCAATATAATAATCAAGCATCTAAGAAATTTTACTCAGGTAAATTTGAAATAATCGTCTCCAATATGTGCCCTTTTAATGTTTCTTTTTAACTCCTGTATCAGCTTGGTGAGCTGAGGCTTAATAGAAGCTGATATCTAGTACAAGTGAAAGGCATTAGCTTGAAGAAGACAGATTTATAACTTTACCCACTTACTGCAAACATTTTCATCAGGAGATTCTGCTGCTCTTGGATTGCCTGGCCTTTCACACTTTCATCATATTCATATCCATTTTGAGATAAATAGTCTAAATAATTGTGGAACAAGACTGAGCGCCAGAATTGCTCCTATGGCATGCAGAGAAAGAAAAGAAAAACATAGTTCATAACAGCTATTTTATCACGGCTGCAAGATATATAATATAAAATTTAGTACTGAACAAGGACATGTTTATAAATTACTGTGAAATTGTGATAATTAAAATTCCAAAGGACTGGAAATAGGCAAACAAAATAGACCACATTAACTGGAATTTGAATTAATTTGGAAATGTAAAGGAAACTTTACAAAATCAAAATAACGTTGAGCAAAGCATCCTTTCAAGGATGCGTACACTTGGATATATAGCGTCAAAAGCTTTGCTCTTAACTATTTGAGAGATTATTCATTTTCATCTCCACTTGCATTCAAGATTACAGCAGGTGGCATCCATACGCTTCCAAGTGTAACTTTACAATTTTAAGGTTTAGAAACCCATTAGCTTGCTTTATGGGGGGGGGAATTAATACATACTGTACACTATATATCTTGTATAAATAATACCACAGAATGCATACTATCTTCCTAAAATAGAGACATACATATGCAAGTAGGGCTACTGTTTCTATATGGGGCGTGTGTGTGTGTGTGTGTGTGTGTGTGTACAGGTAGTCCTCAACTTACGATCACAATTAAGCCCAAAATTTATGTTGTTAAGTAAGAAATTTGTTAAGTGAGTTTTGCCCCATTTTATGACTTTTCTTGCCACATTTGTTAAGTGAATCACTGCAGTTATTAAATTAGTAACATGGCTGTTAACTGAATCTGGTTTCCCCATTGACTTTTCTTGTTAGAAGGTTGCAAAGGGGATCACATAACTCTGGGACACTGCAACCATCATGTGAGTCAGCTGTTAAGCATCTGAATGTAAATCATGTGACCATGGAGATGCTACAATGGTCATAAGTCACTTTTTTTAGTGCTTTTTAACTTCAAACTGTCACTAAACAAACTTTTGTAAGTCAAGGACTATCTGTATTATACAGAACTGCAACTAAATTGTACAAGTGATTTTAACTTAATAGGTGACAACCATTTTATGGAGATTATCTGCATGCATGATATTCAGTGCATACTTAATGGGAATGTAAGATAAAATTACTAGAGATGCTATTTCCATGCAATAAGGACAAAGTGAAAAGCAAGCAAAACTGACCTTTTAGAGCAGGGCAGAACTTGCAACTCCTTATTAAGTTTTTCAGAATGGATCTAAAAACTAAATTATAAATTCTGATTACCCACCTCCATTTGACCCTTATCTGTTGTAGTTTGACAAAAAGGGAGCTTAAATGGCAGCACTGATACCGCAGGACGGGGAAGCGTAGCTGGAAAACGAGCTCCTTTACAAAGAATGCATCTATTCAAGAAAAATACAGAATCAAAAGTGCAACCCTTTTCTTCTTCCCAGACTCACCATGGCATAAACAAGTTGTTTACACATTCAGCAGTATACATGTCAAGAAGAGGAAGCTTACATTTTTCTCAATTTTTTAAAAAATATCAGGCTAAAAATTAACACATTTGAGGGGGGAAAAAAACCCTGGAATTTTCTCTAAGCTTTGAATATCCAAATACTTTATTTAGCATCCAAATGAGATTTCTCTAAAAATAGCAGAATTATTCCTTTGTCACTTTAATTCATTTAATATAAGAAGTCATGTTGTTTTATAATTACTTAGCAGAGCTTTTAGTAAAGTCAAAAACACGAAAAGATTGCTCACACAGAGCGCATAATGTCACAGTCATCTTAACTATGACCTGGCCTAATAATATGCTGCCGTTTTAGGCAAACCAGTGAGAAACTTAAATCAGCTTCTTTGCAAGGCTGAGCCAAGATAAAACTTTGCTTTATCAAGATGCCAAATTTGCTAAAGTACATCAAATGAGACTAGAAGCTTGTGAGCATAAATGCGGTTAGAGGCAGTGTTTCAAATTCCATCTCTTATATCCACAAGTCTACTACTGCCATTCTATTAATTATATTTCATTGTCTATTATGTTTTTAAATATATTACATTAGGGATTAAAGGAATGAAGCCTAAGAAATATTATAAAGTAAATGCATCATTCTTATTCAATCAGTCAATTAAAAATATTAGCTGGAAACATCTAACCCAATCAGCCACTCTTTTAAAACCAAGCCTTCAATCAAGGTAACACTTTCATAGACATCGTTTTTTAACTGTGTTTAAATGATGTGTTTTCTGTCCTCATTTATCTTGGATGAGCGAGAGGGAAAAAAAGCCACAATGACTTTCATTCATACTCATCTTCCCAGGCTGACATGTTCTGAGGTTTTAATGAATTTCCTAGAAAAGAGTTACTTAAAAGGGGAAATGGAAGAACACTATATTTTGTGCATATAGCATGCTAGTTCCACAGGCCTCTTTCTAGTTAAAAAAAACCCAAAAATCTCCTTGGAAGGCCCTAGTTTAAACGAAATAAGGCAGTGGGAAACTGACAAGAGAGGATGATTGAGAAAATGATCTTTCAACAGATGTTTGAATATTTCTGTATTGAGCACTGTTCTAAAGAACAACAGGGGCAATTTTAAATTATTTTTGTACCTGAGCTGCTGAGGGTTTTCATGAACGCCAACAATCCAGTAATGGTTTGACTTCCCTTTACAGTGCTCCCTTGTATTACAGACTGGGGTCCAAATATTACCATGCTTTCGGTTCAGCATTCGTGCAATACCCTCAGAATCCACATAACAAGGAGTACCTAGTCATTCATTAGAAAAGCACATAGTTTTGTTTCGATAATTCTCTTTGAAACAGCTGTATAGATTCATGAATGAACATGACGTTAAATGCTACATCTCTCATCATCATTACTTATATTAAAAAGAACAAAACATTTTGAAGAAAATCAACAGACTTGTAGCTAACTTTGGCAATAACTCCCTCTTCTGGTAACCCAGAATAAAAATCCAGTGTAGTCCACCCATGTCCTTTTTTCCCTTTCCTCTTAGATATTAATAGCATTGTTTTAACATTGATAACAGATGCATAATTTTTAGTCAACTAAGCATGTGATGTCTTCCATTCCTGATGTCTGGGTTGAGGTCTACAGATGTACAAAGATCTGATCACATTCACCTTCCCTCACTATTATTTCACTACTTTGTTTCCCTGAAAATAAGCCCTCCCCCAAAAATAAGCCCTCCCCCAAAATATTTAAACGCACGCGCAGCCGGTCCCTGCCATTTCCTCTGGTTAGGGTTAGGGAGAGAGAAATGGAAATCAAGTAAGACAGCAAGAGGAGCCTTGTCTTGCTCCATGAGCCCCAAAATAATAAGATCTCCCCAAAAATAAGGCCAAGCGCTTATTTCAGGATTCAAAAAAATGTAAGACAGGGTCTTATTTTCGGGAAAACACGGTATTAGGATTAAATACATAAAGACATAGTTAAATTAGGATTTAACTATGTCGTAAATGAACCATCTTACCTTCTGCTGAAAATCCTACCCATGCTAAATAGGATTTCCTGGAAAGAGGAAGAGATTCACCATGTAAAATTTGTTTTTTCTTTTTCCCAAGTTCTAGAAGCTGAATTCCAAGACACTGATCCCCTTCAAATCCAGTGCCTACAAATAAGGGTAGGGGTGGGAAAGGTACAGTGTTAATTCTGACCAAAGTAAGTCAGACTGAAAAGTTGTGGAAAAGTGTAAAGAAAAGGAGGGAACTTAGCTGTGCAGATGCAAATTCTTCTTTATATTGCTGAATGATTGTGATGGATTTCTATTCACTGAGTAATTTTAAACATTGTCAATATGACTATAATTTGGGACTTAAATTATTTTAGGAATATAAAATTATATTCATGAAGTGAGATCTAAAATATTTGTTCAAATGAAATAATAACAATAACAATAATTACCATTATTCTAGTTTTACAGAAATTACTGTGAAATGTAGAATAATGTTTGCTGTCTTTTGAATCCTTAACTTCTATCTTTACTAATATTGCATCTTTTAAAAAAATAAGGACAAAACAATAGAAAGCCAGAATGAATCACAGTTGAATGACAGAGCAGATTTAACATGTAGAAAATTACATGCTCAATATCGCCATCCAGAAAGAAGGAAAGTCTCCTGGTTTTACATTACTGCTATAGGAAGATTTGACAGCATCAAACTAGTTAACAGCTGATATTACTTAATAAAAGCTTTCCTAAACCAAGTTTTCCTAAATGCAAGCACTAGAACAAAGTGACAAATTCTAGTTTTGGATAAAAGTAATAATGATGAATGCAGTTCTTAAGACACTTCAAGACAGCTTAGTCATGTGATTAAACTTAAAATTTCAATTCTATTTGGAAATGGGGTGACTTATTTATTGGTTCGATTTATATGCCACCCTTTTCCGGAGACTCAGGGCGGCTTACAATGTGTTAAGCAATAGCCTTCATACTTTTGTATATACCTGCTTAGTAGGGCTTTCGCCCACCCCCCCAAGCGGTGTTCTTTTTTATACAAAGTCAGCTTGTTGCCCCCACAAACCGGGTCCTCATTTTACCTACCTCGGAAGGATGGAAGGCTGAGTCAACCTTGATAAATAAATAAATAAATAATTAATAAATTCAAAGTCATAATGGCATAGTCTTTAAAAAAATTAAAGAGGAAGTTATATAGAATGACCAAATTTTGATTTAAATTTGCCCTAGGCGCAGGATGCAGAAGGGCTCATTTGAGTATCAAACTTTTTCTAAGGTCAAATTTTTTGGAAATTCCTGGTCTTTCAAAACACTGGGCATCCATCAGCCGCATTCCTTCCCTAATCATACAAGGACACCTGAAAGAGATTTGAATAATCAACATTTTAAACAAATAAACAACAAATGTTTGGTAGTACAGTGGTTTAATGCACCCTGTATGTGCATTAACACAGCTGCCTGCAATTACTGCAGGTTCGAATCTTACCAGGCTCAAGGCTGACTCAGCCTTCCATCCTTTCTAAGGTAGGTTAAATGAGGACCCAGTTTGTGGGGGCAATAAGCTGACTTTGTATAAATATACAAAAGTATGAAGGCTATTGCTTAACGCATTGTAAGCCGCCCTGAGTTTCCGGAGAAGGGCAGCATATAAATCAAATTAAAAAAAAAAAAAATACAGAAAGCACCTTTGTGAAAGACCACCAGCAGCTGCTCTCCATGTCCTGCCATCGACACCACAGGTCCAGGGAAACTGAAAATCTCTTTCTGAACTCCGCCAATGGTGAAGACACGAAGCAGAAGAGAACTGGTGGCGCATGCAGCCCAGCCCTGTCCCAAACAAACAGCTTCAATGTCTTCATCCTGCAGCATATCAACAGTCCAGTCCTTGTTAGAATTCCAGGAGTTGAAATGGATGCAATATAGCTTGCTAAAGATGAAAAAGGGAAATGACTGTAAGTAAAACAAGAATACAGGGAAGTCCAGATACATGCCTCTAGCCTTGCATTTTTGAGCATTATAAACTAAAATGCTTGTTGATTACACTGACACTGCTTTTGAATTAATATTAAGTAGTTCCAATTTGGAGATCTGCAGTTATCGGTTTCACTTTTTCCTCATTTTCCATGTGATTTTTTTAAAAGGAAAATTTGAAGCAAATAGAACAGGACAGCAGCTCTGAAGTGCAGCTCGCTCCCTTGCAAATTCATGAAATACAAAGGTTAGTTTTATTGGCTACAATTTGCAAATAAGTACTTTGTCTTTTTTTACCTTGCTAGTTCCTCTGTGCTCTCACAGGCCAATAAAATAGCTTCACTGGAAAGATCTGCCATTGTGTGATTCAAATTATTTGGCAAATGCATTGCATGATGTATTGCGGTATCATGGAATTCGACATCAATAGCATTGTCTTGTTCATCATTATAGCAGCGAATAATACCCACAGAATTCCATACCTATAAGGATGGTAAGGCTTGTTAAGAAGATAGAAATATTTCTACAAGGTTGACTTTAGATGTGCCATATGTATATATGTACATACTGTATGTATGTATGTGTATGTTTATACACACACACGCCATATAACACACAGCTCATTCATAATCTCTGGGTATGTTTAATCAGCAGGTGAAGTTTGAGATGGAGGGAATGAGGGATGACAGCACTATCAGTGGAGGACTATATACCAAGATAGATACGTACATTATATAAGTTGCAACATGAATTTGCCATTGAAAATAGGCAAGTAGCAAAACACAGGATCAACATCTGAGAAATAAATTAAAATTCCTAACTTCTGAAACACATTTCCATTCTCCCTAGAAGCAGCAGCAATAGATTCTAACTCTAACCTTACCTAAATATACTTAAATACATTTCTCTTTTCCTCCTAGTTATGAAGAAATCTCTATTACTTTAATCATAGTCAGAAATTCAAAGACACCTACCTCTATTTTTGAAAGGGGTTATTTTTGCAACTCACTTTACTATAAATATTCAAAGCTTTAAAAAGAAAAGACTGCACAAAAAGTGCAGTCAGTAATGTTAAGGGGACCAACTAATGATACTTATCCTGCTTTTATAGGAGCAAGTTTATAGCCAATAGCTATAGTTATAGTAGTTAGCTACTATCAGTAATACCCTGTTTCTCCAAAAATAAGACATCCCCTGATAATAAGCCCAATCGGGCTTTTGAGCGCATGCACTAAAATAAGTCTCCCCCTGAAAATATTTAAACGCAGAGTTGGAAATCAGATAAGATGGCAAGAGGATCCCCATCTTGCTCCATGCACCCCGAAATAGTAAGACCTCTCCGAAAATAAGGCCAAGCACTTATTTCAGGGTTCAAAAAAACTGTAAGACAGGGTCTTATTTTTGGGGAAACATGGTAGTTACAGTAGTTACTTATGAACTGAACTTGCCCTTTTTTGTGAGAATTGCAGCCTTTTATCCATTTAGGCTGATAAAGCTTAACAGTCTGAAGATGATCCAAACACCACCCACACATACGTTAAAAGCCATTCAGTTTTGTACTAAGTGAAACTGCTTATGTAGACTATTTAGAAGCTTCATTATTATTACAACTAGTTATTATTACTGTTATTTAAATTTATATGCTGCCTTACTCCTATCAGTTCTGAGCTGTTCTTACAAATTATTTAAAATATTAATAACCTTATTGTTTAAAAAATCGGCTAATGAAGCAATTTTAAACCTGAAATTAACCATGAAGCGGTGAGTGAGGTGTGTTGGGGTAGAACCAGATTGGAATGGCTTTTGCCGAGGAGTTGGCAATGGCCCACTGTAGAGCAGCCTCTGGTCAGATGGCAGTGGCTGAACTGGAAAATTGTCCAAATCATCCTCTTCTTGCTCCTTATCAAGGGCAGAATTAGCTTTCAGCAATCCAGTATCTACGAAAGGCAGATAGATTATATCAAGACATTTTATAGCATTTCCAGAATGCTGGCAGCCAAACTGACAGCATTATACGATTATAGATTTATAATCATGGTTCGCAAGGGGAGGGAACTAACATTGTAGCAATATATTAATCAGTATTCAACTAGAGGGGATAATATGTTTATAATGCATTGTTGTTTTTCTTTTTTGACGATTCTAGATTTATAGTTGCTCCAACATTCAGCCTCTCCCTCTGTTCTGAACCTCCTATTTTGGGAAATTCTAACCTAGAGAGTTCTCATCATCTTCTATTATTGCGCCTCGGTTTCTGGGACGTCCCGACGCCATCTTAAAGTCATCTTCATCTTCATCATTTCTTGCTGCCTTAGAGCCCCAGTCATCCTCACTGAAATCCCTATTCAGAAAGTCCTCTTTGTCATCCTCATCAAAAAGATCATCGTAGCTTTTGATAGAAGAATTGGGTGCCTGAAGTCAGGATTTAACAGTTAATAAATATATGTATATCAAATGAGCAAACATTTTTTTAAAAGGGAAATTACCTTCCAGTCAATAAATGTCAGATTCATATGATTAGGTTCATAATCACAAGGTTAATTAAAAAAAAAAAAGTTTATATTACCTTAGGGATTGATTTCTTCTTTTCTACATCACAGACATTCTCAAGTAGTCCAAGATTTCCTTCTGTATCTGTATAAGCAAGCTGGCCACCTTTGGGATGCCATGCCAGACCACAAACGGTGTAACCTTTTTCATGTTTCACCCTAAAAAAGGCAATAATAATAATAATAATAATAATAATAATAATAATAATAATAGATGCATCTGAAATCATTCTGACAGGAAGACTTTTGCTAAGCAGCTGCTCAGGCTTTATGATCTTATACAGCGTGTTAAACCAAAACCAAACAATTAACTTCATGTTATTTGATCAAGCCATGTGAAAGCAGAAAGTCTCAAAATTTGCCAGTTTGGATTTTATGGGATAGGTTAACCAAACCTTTGAGGTCATAAGTTAGTGGCTCCCATAAGTTTATTTTGTCTTTGCAAAAGCCCATCTTTTGTAAGAGATACTGAAACCAACTGGTACCTTTCCAGGCATTCTTGGGTTTCCACTTTCCAAATGACTATATAGCCACCGATGCTTCCAGCTGCCAAATATTGTCCACATGGAGACCAGGCCACAACATTTAGGGGCTAACATGAAAAAAAGAAAAAGAAAATAAGTCCTTGATATTATAAATTCTGTGGCTTTGGCTAAGATTGTGTTTGATGTACCCATCCCCTGAGCAGAGAGTTAAATATGTTTTAGGGATTTTTTGTTGTTATTAATTTGTTAGTATCATGTTGCAGTGCTGTTTTGGAAGAAGACAGAGAGATGAAGAGAAGGGATTGAGAAAGTCAAGGCAGCAACTTATATCTGGATAGAAAACCTGTGGCAATGCCCACATCCCAGAAATTCATTGTGGCAGTGTATCATAGTGGGTATACACTATGTGTATACATACTTAGTGGGATACACTATGATGATGATGATGATGATGATGATGATGATGATGATGATGATAATAATAATAATAATAATAATAATAATAATAATAATTTTATTTCTATACCGCCCTTCTCCCGAAGGACTCAGGACGGTGTACAGCCAATTTAAAAACACAAGACACAACAATAATTAAAAATTAAAATAATTAAATAGATTTGGCCGATTTAAAACCCCAAAAATTAAAATACCCCAATTTAAAATTATTATATTGACAGCCCTGCCTGGCGGAACAACAGGGTCTTCAGTGCGCAGCGGAACACCCGGAGGTCGGAGATCTTACGTATTTCCGGGGGCAGATCATTCCAAAGGGCAGGGGCTCCCACAGAGAAGGCCCTCCCCCTGGGTGTCGCCAGCCGACACAACTTGGCTGAAGGCACCCTGAGGAGATCCTCTCTGTGGGAACGGACTGGTCGTTGGGAGGCTATTGGTGGTAGAAGACGGTCTCGAAGGTACCCGGGTCCTATGCCATGGAGCGCTTTAAAGGTGGTAATCAACACCTTGAATCGCACCCAGAAGATCACTGGGAGCCAGTGCAGCTCGCGCAGGAGGGGTGTCACGCGGGCACAACGAGTTGCGCCCATAACCACCCGCGCGGCCGCATTCTGGACCAGTTGGAGCCTCCGGGTGCTCTTCAAGGGGAGCCCCATGTAGAGAGCATTACAATAGTCCAGCCGGGAGGTGACAAGGGCATGAGTGACTGTGCGCAAGGCGTCCCGGTCCAGAAAGGGCTGCAACTGGCGGATCAGGCGAACCTGATAAAAGGCCCCCCTGGCCACGGCCGTCATATGCTCTTCTAAAGACAGCCGTGCGTCCAGGAGGACACCCAGATTGCGAGCCCTCTCTGTGGGGGGCAAAGATTCACCCCCAATAGTCAGTGATGGCACCTGCTGACTATATCGGGACGCCGGCAGCCACAGCCACTCGGTCTTGGACGGGTTGAGTCTGAGCCTGTTCCTCCCCATCCAGACCCGCATGGCCTCCAGGCAGCGAGACCCTGATGAGAGTTTGGATTGCCCGCCCAACACAAGTTAGTCACAGGAGTGTGCAGAAGCAAGAAGTAACCAGCTGTGGCAGCCTGGAGTCTTATCTCCTGGAACAAGAAGAAATTAGTTTAGGAATATTGGACACTAGAGGAGTCTGAAGGCCAAGAAACAGCTGCAGGATTCAAACTGGAAGCCACAGAGTCCATCTTATAGCCTGGACTGCCCACTCCTGGGACTACTAATGGTGGTGAGATGGGAGCCTCAGCAGCCTGAATAGTGGAGGCCAGCTTGGAAGCCTTACCATTTAACCATAGTAAAACATGAGCTGAATTCTCTGGTTTCAGCCATGTCAAAAGGTAAGTTCTATTTGGATCTGTGGACGGATTCAAATCGTGGGCGAGATATTTGTTTTTTTTACTATCACCATCCATATGAAAGGTAGAAACTTTGAAATTAGAATTGGATGCCCCTCTAGGGCTGAGTAGGCAAGCAGGGACTTCTTTTTTCCATTCAATCAGGACAGAGCTTAATAAAGGACTGCCAAGACTGAATAAAAGAGAACAGTTTTTTTTGCATTGCTTTTTGGTAAGGATAGGTGTGTTGAAGTAGTTTGCCAGCCTCTGGATGGTCTTTACCAAAAACAAAGTTGGCAGCTGTAAAGATGTGCAAGTGATAATCTGAAGTAAGTGAGGGGGTGGATGTTCTAATGAAGGAAGTTAGCAAGTGCTAGGGGAAGAACTCGAATTCTTAAGTTTTAACAATATTGAGTTTTAGTATAGATGGTGGTATGATTGTGAAATATGGGTGTGATTGTAAGCAGCAGGGTGTGGGGACTAGCAGGAAATGAAAGCAAGCACAATGCTGGTTGTAACAGGCCAGGGCAGATATGCTAATGGGTGCCATGTGGGCTGTTCTAGATGAAAGGAAATAAATACCCTGTTTTCCCCAAAATAAGACATCCGCTGATAATAAACCCAATTGGGCTTTTGAGCACATGGCAATAAGGCCAAGCGCTTATTTCAGGGTTCAAAAAAAATAAAAATAAAACAGGGTCTTATTTTCGGGAAAACACGGTAATATGGAGTCAATCTCCACTTCTGGCTTAGTGTTACTTGGAACCCTGACATTAATCCTGGTTTCTAATCATTGGATTGTTGGTGACCTTGGGTTTATCCTGCTGTTGGTAAATCTTCAAATCATGTATATTGTGCTCATTCACAACCTGCTGATGAGCATGCAGACCTGGCATGTATAACTGAGATCTGGATGATCAAGGGCAGGCATACAAGCTTCTTAGTGATCTGCCCAATTGGGCTTTGGATCTTAGATCTGTAGGTCCCTAATAATCATCTATTTACAAATGTACACAGTCAATGTTAGGAGGAAAGCACACTTCTGTAACAGGCAGAACAACTGTTGCTTTTGCAAGATTTTACACAGCTCATAAAACAAGGAACCTTAACCTCTGATTACTATTGGTCATAGGTCTCTGCTTTTACTCTGACATACATACATACATACATACATACATACATACATACATACATACGCCAAATATCAGACTTCCCATATAGCACTAAACTCTTTTGCAAACAGACTGACTCACTAACAATCAATCAGCTTAAGAAAATATGGTTTTCTCTTCCCTGATACCAAGCAAACATTATTTAGAACAAGAGCAGGTTAAAAAGCACCTAAAAGAATACCAACCTGTGTGATAAAATTATCTGATAGATCCAGTTCATGATCCCATGTTTCTCTTCTATATAGTTTGATTGTTTTTTCTACTGGAATGGCTAGTAGCTATTTAGGGAGAAAAAAATGTTAATAAGATCGACCTGATTTTTAAATGCTATTTTAAATAAGTTCTATCCTGGTTTTGTTTACAAACGAACTCACACAAACCAAAGACATATCTGGGTGAGCTATAATGGGGCAGGTTTTTAGTTTAGTGTGATTTATGAACATAGGCCTTGAGTCCATAGTCCATAGATCCAGTGCCCCATATGGGTTAGGAGAAGTCAGAAAGCCCAAACCTCCAGTTCACGAGAAGGATTTAGTTCAAAATTTTATAAATAAATAAATAGTTAAATATCTTGGTTTCAACTCAAGGAACTGTGGAATACATTTGAATCACATAGAATAGAGTTGGAAGGGACATTGGAGGTCTTCTAGTCCAAACCCCTGCTCAAGCAAGAGACCCTACACCATTTCAGACAAATGGTTGTCCATTTTGAAAGGCTTCAGTGATGGAGCACCCACAACTTCTGAAGGCAAGCTGTTCCATTGATGGATTGCTCTCAGTTACGAAATTTCTCCTTAGTTTTGCAGGAGCCCCTCAAATATTGGAACAGTGCTATCATATCCCCCCTAGTCCTTCTTTTCATTAGAGTAGACATACCCAATTCCTGTAATTCCTGTCATACGCTTTAGCCTCCAGCCCCCAAATAATTTTTCTCTTCTCTGCATTCTTTTTCGGAGTCATATGGATTGTGAAAAGCTTTTCATAAAGTATTGAACCAAATGTCAAGAGATAATAAATGTCAAGCAATCACAGATGTTACGCTGAGTTAGAATAGGGCAGGATTTTAAAATCCCTTTGTGAGTCTCAAGGGCAATAAAGTTCTAATAAATGTCCTATTTCAATCAAACAACTGCATGATGTAACATGCCAAGCATCAACAATTTAATTTATCAAGCCTACTTTAATGAGAATCCTCTAGCCCATTCTAGTTCAACCACCGATATGACTAGAGTTAGCCTAGATGAGAAATGGGATTTTTCACCAAAATCATTAAGACTTCTCTTTCACTCAATCCTCACAATCCACGGCAAGCATGATATGCAGACACTTTTGCTCCTCTGCACGCTCACTTCTTTCCCAGAACTGACTGCTGAAACACTTTTCTGAATGCAGCCTAAATATAATGGGTTTTGCAGAGAAATGCTGCTATTAGCTTTATAGTACCATTCATGAGGTATTCTTTATTAGATAACTCTCATCTCCTCTGATATATTTTTTGCTTCCACTTGCTTTGTCCAGGTGGATATTTCTTGTTCTCCAGTTCTTTATGACTTTTCTGATGCTTTTCAAAAATGAATTGAATTTTTCTCCTCCCTCTACTGCTGCTAGCTTTTCTCTCTTCTCACTACAACGCTTCTTGCAAGTGAACAAAGTTCTCAGAAAATGGGCAAAAGGAATGATGAGTCATTCAAGAAAGCCTGCAACTTTCAGGATCCTGTGACTTCTTGGCATAAAGAACAGGAAAGGCATCTTTCCTCCCCATAGTTTCTCCCATTATTTTCCTTGATTCTTGAAAAACAGCAAAGAGGAATTGGGGCAATGGGTAACCTGGACTTCCAGTGTCTTTTCACTTTTTTGCTACTTTGCAGATAGCTTTCACAAGCAAGGAAACCAAGAATGAACCTTTGGTGTTGCCATCTACCCACCTACGTAAATCAGCATGTGTGTGCACACATGCATTTACCCCCAGAAGCATCCATATAAAACAGGAGTGACATCCAAATGATGACATGTCTCATCAGGACTGTTTCTTGCAAACTTCATAGCGCATGCCTATGTGCACACATGCATATGCACACACGCACACATACACTAAAACAAAAATAGATAGGGCAATTTATTACCTTTCCTATTTTCGGTTGCCAAGCCAGTCTACATAGGGATTTTGCATTTATCACATCATTACATTTTTGCAGCAGCGGCCAGCTTATCTCACAATTCTGGAAGTAAAATAAGATAACGGTCATTAACTAGCTTGATATAAACCTTTCTGAAATATAAAATATTTTGCAAGTTGTAAGAAGTAGGTGTCAGCAGCCATATTGATTTTTTTAACATGGAATACTTACACTGCCATTCCTGGAACGTTAGAGGTTTAGGGTCATCCAGACCCAAAACTCCCTAGATAGTTTTAACGAGTTTTATCAATCTAATTCATGTGAGACAGCCCTGTTTTTCAGTCAACTGCTTTATTTCCAATGTAAATAAAAATTAATTACTGCTTCTCACCTTATGATTTTCTTACTAAATCCTGGGGTTTCTTGAATTATTAAGAGTTCCCCACTGAAAAGCCAAGTAACAACATGCATTTTCCATAAAAAGAGCTGGACTATCACAATTGATTTTCAAGACAAAACATTCCTAAATGTAGTATTTATAACTCACTATATATGTTAAGCTTGTGTTCCAAGCCTTATTGAATTCAAAAAGGTTTATTCCAAATTGCTAAAAGAATTATAATCTGCAAGTTTAGTTTCACACTGACACTCCAAATTTGCATTAGGATTTAAATCTTTTCCCCTTTAAGATGTAAATTTTAATTTGTTTTTAAAATTATTGGGTGTTTTTAATTTGTCTCGGCCAAATTGTTTTAATTCGGTTTTATTCTGTTTTTAAATTTTGTATTTATGTGTTTTATTCTGTGGCTGTTCACCGCCCTGAGTCCTTCGGGAGTAGGGCAGTATACAAATCCAATAAAATGAAAATGAAATGAAAAATGAAAATCAAGATTTAAAATGGGAAACAGAAAATATTATTTACCTGTTCTGAAATTTTCCACACTCTGATAGATCCATCACAGCTAGCCGATGCCTGAAAAAGGAGTACTTTTAAAAATAATAGCAGCTGACACTACTTACTGCTTAGTATTTACATTTAAAATGGCAGAGTTCAGTATTATGACACTGTATGAAACCACATCTTTGCTGACATACTTTTCCTGAAACATCCCACTCTGGTGGAGAATGCTTTTTTAAGCCGAAAGGCAGGATGTAATTTTAATACACAAATTACTATTTATTAATTCATTCACCTGACTGGGATTTCCTTGCCTATAGGAACCAGCTGGGTGAAATCTGAAACAGGTATTTAAGAACCTTTATTATCCTATTCTAGAAAAGAAATACACTAAGTAAATACAATATATTGTAAAAGCTGGTAGTAAAAACTCTTAAAAACTGGGTACTTTTAAACGATCATGCAGTCCAACAAATATACCTTTTCACCTATTTATGCTATCTATGTATTTGTGATGAAATATATTTAAAAAAGTGAATCCCCAAGAGAGTGGGGGTGCATTCCAGAAAAGCAAGTGGCAACTCAGTCCTAAAACAGCTGTCCCTAATAGTTCACAGAGTATACTGTAGATCAGGGGTCCCCAACCCCTTGGTGGTGGCCCACTACCGGGCCTTGAATCATTCGGAACTGGGCCATGGAAATGGTGGACGAGGGTGCCCACACACATACACACACATTTGTGCAAGGGGCAGGAGCGTGTGTCTGTTGCTCCTGCAAATGGAGCTGCACATGTGTTTGCCTGCCACTCGCGCAGAACCATCCCCTCACCGTTCACCCTCTCTCCCACCAGTCTGCCAAGCTAGAAAGGTTGGAAAATTCTGCTTTAGATGCAAATAGCAGTCCTCAGTCTGGCAAGGTTTTGTCTATAGGTGTGAAAACAATAAAGAAATGCTGCATTGGGGAAATACAACAATGCAAAATCATAGAATTATAGAATATGTTATTAAAAAGCAATGAAAAAAGTCTATAGGACATACCAGAAAGATATCAGCTGGATCCAATGACACACTCAAAACAGGTGCATCATGTCCTCGAAATGTCTTTTGTTGACTGCTGTCAGTTACATCCACTATTTTCACCAGAAAATCACTAGAGATATTTTAAAAAAACAACAAGAGTATTTTTAAATTGAATAAAAAGGCACTGTACCACCATTCTAAACAGTATTTTAACTACCTTTTCTGAGTCATTCTTGGGCATACCTATGGATACACACGTACATATACTGTATTTTTCGGAGTATAAAATGCACCTTAGTATAAGACGCACCTTAGTTTTTGGGGAGGAAAATAAGAAAAAAGCTGATTGGCAGGTGGATCGGCCTCCCAGAATATCCCCAATCAGCTGTTCCCAGAGGTGAATTTTAGCAACAGGTTCCTTGGTTGTGCCTTGCTTTTTTTTTCTGCCTCTGAAACTTCTGAAACTCTGTTTCAGAAAAAACTTTCTTTTCTGCCTCTGAAAGCCTCCGAAACAGCTTCAGAAAAAAAGCCTCTGAAGCTCTGTTTGGGGGCTTTTTTTCTGAAGTTCTGTTTGGGGGCTTCTTTTCTGATGCTTTTTTCAGCTTCTGAAACCTCCGTTTGAGAAGCTGGGCAAAGCTACATTCAGAGTATAAGACGCACCCAGATTTTCACCCTCTTTTTTGGGGGAAAAAGGCGCATCTTATACTCTGAAAAATACGGTAAATGTTTTAGCAAAGAAAATTGTAGAAGTAAAATCTCTCCAAGTAATAGATTAATTCACATTATTTATTCTAAACTTTTTGGTGTCTGTCTTTGAGTCATTTTTAACTTCTGGTAACTGGCTGACTAGATCCTGCAGATTTCTTGGCAAAGTTTTTGTCAAAGTATGAATATTCATAAACTGGAATAGATCAGCCAATGAATAGGCATAGCAATTAAGTCAGCCAATTGAGAGCTGAGACAGATTGGAGCCAGGGCATGTCTTAGTCTGCAGCTTCTGAATCTGTGCAGAGAAACCGAAACCAGTGAGTGTGAACTTATCTGCTCTGCTGAAATGAAAATAACTGTTCTCTCCTGCCTTGTGTTGTAACTGCTACTATATTGAAGAAGAATCTATATTGGTATTATAAATACTTCATCTGTTATTATGTATATAAAGAAGTTAATGAATCCAGCTGAATCAGTTATCTGTGTGTGCTTCTGGATCTGATTTTTGCAAGAAACTCTGACAGTTTTTCAGATGTGGTTTGCCATTGTCTGTTTTCCAGGGCTGAGAGAAAGTGATGAGCCTAAGGATCACCAAGGTGGCTTCATGCCTAAAGTGGAACCAAAATTCAGTCTCCCGGTTTCTAGCCTTAACCATTACATCAACCTGGTTCTAATTTTAAAATCAAATCATGTTAATTATTGATTAAAATAAACAGTTACTTAAAGAAAATTCTACCACAAGCACACTTTATTAATAACAAATCAATTAAAAAATCTGAACTAATCCTAAAACAATTTCCATAAATAAAACCATACAACCTATTTATAACAGCAAGAACTAAAGAGAATGGCTATGGCAGTTTAAAATTAACTTTCTGAAACTTATTAATCTCCCATAGCAAATACTATTGTCTTGCTTATGTGAAACACTCAACATCAAAATTCCATTTTACGTATTTAGATAACTACAAATGACAGTAAGAGTGCAGAAATAATTACTTATGAGGAAGACAGCTTTCCATATCCCACAAAATGGATGACTATTGTAAACTGCTGCTATGTCTCTATAAAATGTTAACAATCTGATGCAACCTCTCTATCCTAAAGCTTCCAGATATTGTTGGGCTGCAAATTCCATTATTCTGGTCTGCCACTCACTGGCTTCTTGACTTATAAAGTGGAAAATGTAAAATCACCCATCTGGAGGACAGCAGATAGAGGAAGGATGAGTTAAATTCTTGTCTCAGAAGAACAATGAGCAGAACATACAAAGTTGTTTGCACAGAATGCTTATATCTTAGTTAAAAGAATACTTCTTTCCCAGCAAATTCAGGTAGGAAAAATAATCCATAGCTGAAACAGTTTGGGTACTTTTCTTTTCAACTCCCAAATATATTTACCTAGATCCAACAGCTACTTTGCTCCCATCAGCACTAAAAACAACATGGTTTGCATTTGTGGTAAAACGGGTCAAGATACCATCTGGAAGACCTTCTGGGAATGTATGGATTTGGACAGTGTTGTTAGATACTGCAGTAATCAATCTCCCATTCTACAAATAAAGCAGTATTAGGATTATAGACTAGTCCATATTTCATTGTCTTGAACAGAATAATATTTCATGTAATTTGACAGATACAAAAGATAAATTCTGAAAAAAAAAACCAGTGATTTCTCTCCAACTGCTTTTTCAATTATTAAAGACACTGATTACACCAAGCAACTGTAGGTGGACTTATTGTACATGTATTGAGATAAAAATAAGAAATCCAACCTCATTTCTGTCTCAGACTATTCATGCAGAGACTGGAGAGATTACTGCCAAGATAAACCTTGCATTTAACTACTGCCTTAATCTATTATTTTTACCTACAAATGATGCTATTCTCAAGTTTAGCCAATTATTTTCTATTCACAGCTCCAAAGCTGAAAACTATAAGACAATATTTGAGGTGCAGAATCAGTAGATGTTATTAAGGCTGATATATTTACTTAAGATTATGCTTTAAAACAAGAGTCAGCCACCACTTTGCATTGCAGGTATGTATGATTTGCCCAATATCACATGTTCTTCACAAAATCAAAAGTGTCAAAAGTCAGATATTTTGCGTATTTTAGAATATTTCAGAAATTTTGGTTGTTTAATTCAATTTCTTGTTTTTAAATATCCCCTTTTAATTGATCTTTTTTTAAAAAAAAACATGATGACCTAGATTGATGGTTTACTTTACAAATTATAATGATTCATGTATGTGTATGCAAATATAAAGTTAAGGAAGAAACATGAAAACAGGGTACTCTGAAAATATATAGATGAAGGGCAAGAAAGAACTGACTACATACTCATATTTGAAAGACTAGGAAACTAACTACTGAACAAGATCAATAGTGAACAAAGCCTTAGGAAAAAACTGCAAAACTGTGGTGAAGGAAAAAATAGAAGACTGATTGCATTCATAATATTAAAAGCAATTAGATAAATACATAGCACATTAATCATACATAAACATACAAAAATAACCAGACTTTAAATTTGGCCTTCCAGTCTCCTCTTTGGGACTGAGTCTTCCAAGGGATGTGGGGTTAATACATTTTAATTTGGGGGTCTATTTTAAGGGGGGAAATAGAAGTTTTAGGTTTTGCAGAGGCTTAAAGCTGATGCAACATCTGTTAAATTTCCCTAAGTCTAACAGATAGTCAAAACATTCAACCCAGATCAACAGGATAAAAAAGTGCAGTTTCCACTTGTGATATAAAACTTGGATGTCTTAAAGAAAGCACTAGATTTGCTTTGACATGCCATATTCACCAGGGGGCAGACTTCATCCAATACTGAATAATGTAATGAAATTCTCTTAGGAATTTTGATTTAGACACCAACAGAAAGCCAAACTTAAAAGTTTAGAAACACATAGTAATTCAGGGAAAAACTGTAATTTGTATACATTTGACTTTTTGCATCTGAGCAAGAAGCTTAATAATTTTTTTAAAATGCACATTTCTATTATCACTTCACAATAAAATGTAGGTGGTAACACAAATAAAGAAATTAAATTCCATTCAATGAATAAATAAATATATCTATTCTATGGAACTGAAGTGTTGTAATTTGCAGAAAAAGTTATCACATTTTGCTACCCCAATCCCCAAAATTAATCATTTGAGATACATGTGATCAGAAAAATAGAAAGGGATGGATGAAAAAGGATAATTTATTTCATTTTACAAGAGTTTACAAAAATGTGCGAATTCTGTCCTTCTTAGATGAACAGCTTGACTTGTTTTCAAACCCAATTTAATAACATGTTTTTATGAACTCAAGGCCATAATCACATACATATGAGAAATTGAAAATTAACACTAAATATTTACCTACCAAGTTTTGGATGCAATGGTTTTGAATCTGAGCCAGGTGATATTTATTGTTTTGATCATTTTGGAAGTATTTCGGTTTCAAAATAACCCTACTGAATTAGAAATGCTATATTCGGAATGCAAAATCCCTCTAAAATAAAGCAACTTTTTACATGAAAAATAGGATTAGTTCACCATTATATACAAGTCTATTCAATGGCTTGGTTCACACTTAATATAAACTTATGTGTTTTGTTTGGATTTTGTTTTGTAATGTTATGTGATTCCAAGTACTGCAGTTTGTACACTGTGGTTTATGTAATTTAGAATGATGTATGAATCCAGCCAATTGTAGTACAGTTCGCTAATCATGTTTTAGCAAACTAAGCATCATAAAGGAATCTAATTGATGTTCTATCACAAATAACAATTATGCAAATAGTGAAAGAAAACACACTACCATTTATATCAGTTTCAGGAGTACCTTGAGAGCAAACGAGTAGGCTTTTTCGCCTACATTAATGGACTTTGGATCATCATCATCCAGGCTTTCCCAAATTCTTACATCTCCATCACTGCCACAAGTTACAATACAACTAAAGAAACAAAATCAAAATACAGGGATATAGTAACAATATGCATAACTATTTCATACACACACATTCAGATCTCATTAAAATATATTGTAACAAAAGATACATTATCCAACTGTATTTTTTTCTTTAAATAACCTTTAAAGAATAATAAATAATGATACAAGCAAAGATGCTGGTCTCAAGGAATGGCATTTATAGGACTGATGTTTCCTAAATAGAATAGAATAGAATAGAATAGAATAGAATAGAATAGAATAGAATAGAATAGAAGAGAAGAGAAGAGAAGAGAAGAGAAGAGAAGAGAAGAGAAGAGAAGAGAATTTCTTTATTGGCCAAGTGGGGACACACAAGGAATTTGTCTTGGTGCATATGCTCTCGGTGTACATAAAAGAAGAGATTCATTCATCAAGAATCATAAGGTACAACACTTAATGATAGTCATAGGGAAACAGTCAATATAAAGTAGTTCCCCAGGTTAATTAATCTCAGATATACATATACATATTAAACTCCTAGTGTGTTTTCTTTACTTTTGCCTTCCTATCTTAAGTGAATCTGATCAGTCTGATTTCTAAACCAGTTTATGACTTACTACAATGTACAAACCCAGCTAATTATATATATGCAAACCCACAATGATTCACTTAAGGATGACAACTGGGAGTACTGGAATCGCATCACTAAGCAGCGTAATCACATGATGCCACACTTTATGACCATATTGCTTAGTGATAGCAATTAGGGTCCCAAGTGCCATTGCTAACAAGCTATATACATTGAATTATTTTGGTTATTTATTTTAATTATATTGGGAAATAACTTTGGCATGGCTTACATGGTGCGGTGGAAGGGGTGTTCAAACCTAGTCACTTTGAAAAGAGACTGATAAACTTTTTAATGTGCTGTCATGAATCCAACACTAGTTTCTCTTAATTCCTTTGCTGCTTATTATTCGGTCAGGCACAGATGACCATGGAACATACTTTCCACTCACAAGGACCAGATATATGTTTTTATACATACATACATACATACATACATACATACATATATATATATATATATATATATCTGTGCTGAACTGCAATTGAAATGTGCAAATATTTTATTACCTATACTCTGCCTTTCTGCACAGTGTGACTACAGATAATATAACAAAGATTTTCTATAAAGCAAAAAATTGCATATAAAATAAGCAGATAATAATATAATGGAAATAATCAATGAGATTATAAAAGGTAAGGAAGACCTCAACAACTAATTTAAAGAACATTGTGATTAGGTAAAGGAAGCTTTTACAAAAACATTCAGTATTTCATAATTATGAAGGAGTGCCTTCAACAGTAGTTAGATACAGAGCAACATTTGAGCTTTATCTTGGTGTATTTCACAAAGCATAAAATCATTTGTGTAAAAAGAGATGCAAACGTTTCATTTTGGACAAGCATTTGGGGACATCTGCCAATAATAATAATAATAGATTTCTATGTTTTGGTTGCCTAATTTCATGCAACTAAGCACCCCAAAAATATTTATATATTTCTGAAGTAAATCACTAGATAAGCAAAGATAAGCTTCAATCACTCACCTTCCAGTATCATTGAAACAGACATCTGTCTGGCCTTCTGTATGTCCATATCTCATTGGTTTTTGTGAGGGCATTTTCTTTGCCTATTTAATTATAAAAGGCTTCAGCCTTAATCCATGACAAAAGCAGCATTTTTACATCCTTCAATTAAAAACCTTGAGTCTAGCAGAAATAGAATGCAAATGTTGAAATACAACAACTGCAAAATACGGCCTCTCCTCGTGAAGAAACATACATAGGATCCCTTTTTTTTTAACTGATGCTGATCACGCAATCCAGAATTTTATCAATTATACGATCCTTAGGGCTGCAATATCAGGATCAGGGACAGCAACCTTAAAGGTTATATTTTATTTCAAACTCTCTCAACCAGGTGCCCTCCCAAGTGCGCTGCATGACCTCCCTCAAGCCACGCTGGATTAGGATGATGGGACATGTCGTCCAATACACCAAGAGAGGGAAAGGCTGCCAATGGCTCAGCTAATATAACACGCCTTATTCCCTTCCCCGTTGAGGTCGCCCAAGAAACGGCGGCAGGACCTTCCCCCTCCGGGTCCTGAGGACGTGCGTGGGAATAGCTACCGGGGGTGGGGTGGGTGGGATGCTGGTTCCCCAAAGAGCGACTCACAGCCCCTCACCGGCAGAACTACGCCGTCCCGCCGCCCTCACTAACTCACCCGCCGTCCTTCGAGCTTTCCCGCGCTTCGCTTCCGAGTGACATCATCAGCGCCAGAGGCCGGGCCGTGCTTTTCTTGGCCCTCTCATTGGGCCGTTGCGCTTTCCGTCCCACGCTCGGTCCCGCCTCCCCCCCCACCCCCCCCCCGGGAAAGCCGGCTGAATCCTGTCTGGGAGACCCGCGGGGCGGGCTGTGCTGCGCCTGCGCCTTCATAACCGCCTGGAAGGCGGAGAGGGAAAAGCCGCGCTTGTGGGCAGCGCGGCTGAGGGACGGACTGAGGGCGGGAAGGGTGGGGTAGAAGGAGGGCGGTCAAGCCGCTGGGCTTCTTTGCCTCCGCGTCCTTCTTAGCCCCCCTTCTCCCCCCCTCCCCTCTAAATCGTAGGGATTGCTCCGTTCCCTCTGCCGCCCTTCTTTCTCCTTCCCCGTCCTGCAACTCTTCTTCCCCACTATTTAACGCTTCTTTTGGGACACAGATTTTAGGAGGTGGGGGGGGAGAGAAAAAACGCTCCTGTTTTGCTTTCTTGGCCACACGGTCCCTTTTCCTTTTTACTGTCCCCCCAAATCCTCCCTCTCTCCATATATCGAGACTTTTGGAGCTTTTCCAGATCTTCTCCCCCCACCCCAGCCTTCTCTCCTTTGCAGCTTAATTGCAACCATATGTAACCAGAAATAACCTTCCCATGTGTCGCAAAGGGATTTCCTCCCAAAGGAATGGTTTTCGAATTGCAGCTATTGCTTCTCCTTCTTAACTTCCATCCACCTTCAGCCACTTTTTCCTAGCATACTTTGCCTTTCGATTTCCCCCCGTTTCTTTATTTTGTCAATCCTCATCCTCCAATCTCCTTTCTTTCCCTCCCTTCCTTCCTTCCCTCTCTCTTTCTCTTTCTCTCTCTCTCTCTTTCTCTCTTTGGCACGCACACAACACAGAGAAGGTTTAAAGATCCTCCCCTTCAGTTCCGACATCTTCCTTTCTCTCCTCCTTTCTCATCCTCGGACCCCCCTCAGCCCCGATCCTTCCTCCTCCTCCTCCTCCAGCTGTGCAGTTGCTCCGTCATCCTTTGTGTCTGATGGGGAGCACTGGTGCCTGTCAGTGCCACGGTATTTGGTCGAGGTTTCTCTTCCTTCCCTGCTTTTTGGCATCCCTTCAAAATGTTTCTTCGGGTGAGCAGCAGGTGAGCATGGGGAAGGAGAGTGGGGGAGATGGAAAGAACTGGCATCTGTTCATTCTGACAAAGTTATCCCTCTCCAGTAAAGATACTCAACTTTTATTAGCGACCAACGATGTTGGTGAAATGTTTCTTTAAATCCTGGGGAGAAAAACTGAATTTTGAGATAGATAGCCGTGGTTGGAGGAAAAGGAGCAAACAGAAAATTAGTTTCAGTGTTAATTTCATAGCCACAGCCATCATTTCAGCAGCATAACTTTTAAAAAACAGTTAAAGGAAACAGGTTTTTTTTTCCTTTAAAAAATGAGATTTTATGCTAGAATAAAGTTATTGTTTTAAAAGTTTCTTTTAAAATTCTGGAGGTGCATATTATAAAATGTTCATAAACTGTGGCAAATAGCTACATTGCTGATCGTTTGTTTGAAGTGCAAGATTTCATGGAAAATATTTTACTGTGTTTAGTTCGGCATTTGCATCATGATGATTGCATCCACCTTCTAAGTTTAACCAAGGAATGGTAGGTCTTAAGGTTAGAAGATATCATCTTTAGAACAAGCACCTGTTTTGTTTTAAAGAGCGTTGAATTGCCTACTTGTAGTTCTAAAAAGTTAGAAATTTATTTCTCTTCATCATCTGACAGTTCTTTCTCAATATGTTTTTAAAGTTACATGGAAATGTCACTTAGACTAATTGAAATAGACGTCTGTGGGACATTTGTTGTCAATATTCCAAAAGCCATTTGTTCATGTTTTCATCCTCAGGCTGCTTCTTTTAGAATAAAAACTAAAAGTTGGAGAAATCATGTGGCATGTGAATTCTTGTTCCAGCCTACTTATATTATGAAGTGAGTTTGGCTGTTACTGACTCTTAGCTGACAAAATATATAAATAGTTTTGGATGGCTTATTTGGCCATGTTTACACTACATAGGGAAATATTTTTGGTCTCATGCTGTGCTTTGTTAATCAGACAGATCGTTTTGGGGATACATAGAGAAATTTATTTTTTTAAAAGGGCCTATTTTCTTTCTAGAAAAACAGATATTTTAACTGGTTTTAATTAGAATATTGTTCTAATCATTTAATAATAAAATATCTAATCAAATAGTTTGGTACAATGTCATGTCCTACATGCATTAAAACATGACATTATACCAAAATATTTGAACATAATTAACTCTTGCTTTATTTTAGAAAATATTCTTAATGCTCTTTGCATTTTCACTGCCATTTAGTGTATATTTAGAATATCTGGGATTTTAAAAGAATTGTGAGAAATGACTTTTGAGGATCTTAATTCTTTTTGAATGAAACAGAATATTTTTGTAAGTGGAACCATCTAGGAGGCCTGAGAGGAGTTAAAGTAGACAATTTCCTGTCAGCCTTTATGCATTCCACTCTTATTGGAGTTTTTTTTTTCTTTTTTGGATACTATTCTGTTGTTTGATTTTGCAACTCCTTTAGCTTGACACAACTGTCTCTTCTCTCGTCTCAGTTGCATTGTGGATTTTCAGGACCAAACTTCAAGATAATTTATTGATTTTAGCCCCCACTGGAGCTAAACTGATCCCAACGTTATTGGGAAGTTCTCCTCATAAAAACTTCTGCTACATACTGTAAATGATCTTACCCAGCTCTCATTCATTTAGGAAAAGTTGAGATATGAGACATTCAGAAGGAATTAATTGTGTTCCATATCAACAAGCTGCTTTGGATTTTTCTTCTCTGAAAAATGTATTTGGCAAGTCCAGTTCAATATATTATTCCTTATACCTAACATACACAAATGTTCAAGAAAGATCAGTTGGGCAGCTTTTATTTTACTGAAAAAACATTTGGTAATATAATATGTGTTAATAAATTATGAGGGGGAGTAAACTCTGAAGTGATATAATATCCTCCTTTTCTTATGTAAAGTTCACTGCAGAAAGGCTAACAGTAATATTTTCCAAGTGAATAATAATATCCTTTCATTTTCAGTCAATATATTTGTAAAATGATGCACAAATGCCTTATGTGGTCCGGATAATATGCAAAAAGCCATTATGCGAAAAGCCATTATGCAACTTCTGTTCTAGTCAAAATTTGGTATCATAAAAGAGATGATGTGCACTTGAAAAGAATTAGGACATGGCTTCTAGCAATATTCTGTCTTCCTGATTTGATGTAGGAAAAGATCAGTCAAATATCTTGTGTGTTCTCTCTTCAAGATAAAATCTATATCAAGCTTTAAGTGAAGTGAATGCATCAATTTCCATGCTCTCTTTCAGATAAGATATGACATTATAGTCAGAGAGGCAATCATGTGTCAAGGAACAATGGCTAAAACTCTTCAGGGATTTTCATGCTATGATGACTTTTGTTGTAGCCAAAAATCATATGACTCAAAGGAATTCTTTGCTCTATTGTTTCTGTGAGAGCTAGCTTCACATTTAAATGTTTTTCAAGTGCAGTTACAAATGGAAGACACAAACCTTCTTTTTACTGAGATGACCTGTCTATATCACCTCTGCTAATTTTCTGTTAAAATAAAGCAGATGCCGTAACTTGACTTACCAAATGGCTCACTCCATTAATACTGCCCTCCGGCTGAAAATATACTTAATAACTAGACTGCCATTTACTTTAATTTGTTTTTTTGACATTTTTATAAAATAAATAATAAATAAATTAGCTGATAGGAAGCGATGTGTATTTAGTTTAAATGTCTATATGTTATGAAGCGGAGAGGGTGACACTGATGAGAAGGAGAACAAGAATAAAATATGGACTTCAGTAAATCTATATGAATACAATTTATGTGAATGCTTTTTTTGAATTGGATTTGTGTTTGTTTTTTGTAATTGGCCTTTATGTTGATAAAGTTATAGACCCAATTTGTGTTAATAGTATTTTGTATTTGCATAAGATTTTTAAAACTGTATTGTAGACTTAGGTATTGCTTTAAATCTATCATTAAATTCAGCATGGTGCTTGTTAATATAACATTTAATCAAAAGTCCTTTTGTCTTGCTCAATCACTGACAGAGTGATAATGTATAAACCCTAAAGGGATAAATCAGGGAAGAGGAATATCTCTGGGTGGCAATATTATGATTGGTAAAGACATAAAATGATGAGAATAGATTAATTAAACAGAGGGTAGGAGTGAGAGCTTTGTTCTTTTATCATCTCAATTAGTTTATTAAAAGAAGATTACTAGGGCTGAGAGAGAGTGGAATGTAGAAAGGAAAATTCTCTGTATAATTGGAATCACCAATTTTTTTCTTCCCAGAGTAAGAAAATAAGCTTGTCAATATTTTAGAAAAACAGTGGGTTCAAAAGACACTCTTTTTCTAAAACATCGATAAGTTTATTTCTTACTCTAGGAAAAAAAAATAAACAAATCTGTGATTTCAATTATGTAAAGAATTTTTAAAATCCTTCTAAAAACCAAAAGAGGTATTCTCAAACTCTGAAATACTGCAGCTCCTTTAAATAATGAATGAATTTGTGTGATTTCCCCCCAAATAAAGCTAATGATTTCATTGTGGTTAGGGCCAGATGAGAAATAAACATACCAGTTACTCTTAATAATTAAATGTTAATATATTAAATAAAACCATGACATAATCTTACAGCTTTATAAAATTTATCAAACTTGTATGTCACTAACATACATTTTACAGACACTCCAAGATCTATAGCTTTACTAGCGAATGGGAAAAGGAGAGGAAGAAGGAAGGGGAAAGAAGAGCAGGAGAGAGGGTAAGAAGGGGAGGAAGAAGAGAGGAGAGTGGAAAAAGGAAAGGAAGTAGGAAAGGAAAGGAGAAGAGGAATGAGGAAAGAAGAAAGAAAGGAGGGGAAAGAAGGAAAGGGAAGGGAAAAAGAAAAGGTGGTAGTAAAATAAAAGAAGGAAATGGTAAAAGAGCAGACCTGAATAATTAATTAATTAAATACCTAATGGGAGTTAAGAAGATGAACGAACAATGTATAATGATGGATAAAAGACTGTACATTTAAACATGTTGATGAAAAATAAAAATAAAAAACTTTTTTCAAAAAAAAAATCTATAGCTTTACTACAATATACCTCATGAGCAGAAATGCCTGAAACATACATATATTTCTAGGAGAAGCCAAACCCAAATTAATGCTTAGATTAATTCTTGCAATTTTCTTGGCAAGATTTTGAAAATGGTTTGCAATTGCCTTCTTAGAGCTGAGAGAGAGTGACTGGCCTAAAGCCACCTTCATGGCTTCATGCCTAAGGTGGAAATAGAACTCCCGGTCTCCCAGATTTTATCCTGGTGCCTTAACGGCTACATCTATGTTGTTATTATCACAAATGCATTATATTTTCATCAAAGATTTGTAAGAAGACATCGGGCACAAATGAAACTGCTCCTATGCTAAATTACACTACTGATCAACATGCAGAACCCATTCAAATTCCTTGGTTCATGTGTATTCTACTTGGTGCCCCTGCAGCTTCAAATGTGCTTCAAGGGGTTGGGATGACCCTCAAATGGATTTGAAAAGAACTCAGGACAAGGATACATGTCTAGTTTACTTGACTTTGGGTTTTTATACACTTTTTCTTTACATATATTCCATCTATAGCAGGGGTTCCCAGCCTTTTCTATACCCCGCAACCTTAGAGCACTTCTGATATATTCTCGCACCCCTTACAAAAATAAATGATTATATGCATATAATTATGCATATACACTATAATTTTGAAACTTCTAAACCCAAGTTTACATACCCCCTGGAATATCATCTCGCACCCCCAGTTGGGAACCTCTGATCTATAAAGTTTCCATATCTTGCAAACTCTGAGGAATATTCTGATTTTCAGGCAAGAGTGTAGCTTCTTCTGTTGTGGCTTTCTTCCTGTGCATTTAGTAATGTCATAGTAATGTCATAATAAACTTACATTTAAAGATGCTTTTCAAAACTACAATCTTCATAAAGTGGCCTAGCTGATCCAGATGCTATTATGATGCACTTCAAAAATATTGTGTCCCTAAATTCTCTTCTGAAAACAAATACACAAAAAAATAACGCAAAGAAAACCATGCACTGTGCATGAATTAGACCTTGAGGGCGTCTTATTTTATGTAATGTCATTTCTTCCCTCTGTGGTTCCTTAAAAGCATTTCCATATGTCAGGGTTTTATAAAATTGCTTTTAGTAAAACAAGTTATTTTTATAATCCTTTTCAGGACATCAAGCCTAGGTGCTTCAAGTGCCTTGGGGATACCCTTCTAAAAACTCATTTTAAAAAGCAATACCCGGTCTGTGACACATTTTAATTAGTTTCTGTTTTTAAAATGACCTGAAAGCGTCAGCACAGAATAGCATCTCTTTAACATCCTGCTTGTGTGAACTAGTATTGTAAGAAGTGTTACATGAAGTTTTGACTATATTTTATTTGTTGACCTACTTTATCTCTCATTTGAGTTTTTGTTTGGGTTTTTGTTTTTGCTGTTGAATGGTTTTCGAGCTTGAATGTGGCATTTGTCCAAAGGCAAGCAAAGAATGTGGGGAAACGGTCTTTTCCCAGGAATGGAAGTTAAATTAATCTATAGTTTGTTTGTCTTAACATGATAATGGAAGAAGCTCTGGAATACTAATTAGATTGGAATTCTATTAGATGTGATTCAGAACATCATCACTCACAGATCCATTTATCTGAAAGCCCTAAAAGATGAGTGACTCCAAGGATCTACTGATGTTTTATTAAGGAATTAAAATAGTGGCTATGAATGCTTCAAACAAGAAATCTTAAAAGTCTGATTTTTACCATTCTATAGAGATAAGATCTACCATTAGTATGCTGTCCATATAAGCAAAATTTTATTTCCATTTGGACAGCTTTTCTGCATGTATATTCCCCCATCTATTTAAAAATGGAGCTTCCTGTTTCTAGTTTTTAAATCCTTCAAAACAAAGATGAATACTGATGTTACAGCTGAATGTTCAGTAAGTCTGACATTCGAAGACTTTGTGCATATACAGTATACATATTTCCTAGAGTAATCATTATTGAATGTGAAATGCATAGTACTATACTGCAAGTCTCAATTCATAGATTATTGAGGGAAATTAAAAGATTTTATCTTAATCTGAACGCTAATATAATTTGGAGGAAAAAAATCCTGAAATCAAAGGCATAACTTTGGGGAAAACAATATAAAAATGGTGGTCTAAATTGTGTAGTGTTGAACTGCTGCCTGCTTTCTCTGGCACATATATTGTCTTCAGTACTGTTATCACTGTAAGAGATCAATGAAATTGGAGAATAAGCAAATAATGGTGAAGGAAAATTATCTTTAGTACACATTTGAATTTAATTGACCAAGTTCAATCTTATTTGTCCTACTGGTAGTTCTCGACTTACAACCATTCGTTGAATGACAGTTCAAAGTTACAACACTGAAAAAAGTGACATGACAGTTCGGCAACGGAAAATTTGGGTTCAACTGTGATCATAAATCAAGGACTACCTGTATTAAACTTTTACTCTATAGTTTTTCCTTTTCTACAGAATCACTCACACGCTGCTAAATTCACACACAACATTGCAGCGACAGTAATTGTTCACTTTGAAGCTGTCCTTCAAAATCTCTCCCAAAATTTCCTTTTCTTTGAAGTAAACTGAAGCTTAGGGTAGGATAGGCTACCAGATTTTCCTTATGTTGGGCTAGAATATTCCTTGGAAAGAGCTACAACCTGGCTGCAATGTGTATACTTGTAATGTCCTATCACTGTGTAGGAAGCAGGACCGCCTGCTCAGTCTCATATATATTTTGATAAGTGATTAATGATGAACTTAATTGATGGTAGGTAACTGAGTTCATCTTCAATCCTGTACCATGATGATAAGGGTGGTGAACCATTCTCACTTCTCCACCCTTATTCTATCATCAGACTGTTGTCCAGATATCTGATTTAAACTTACTAATATCCCGGAAATATTAGAATAAGGAGCATTTACTGTCCGGCTGTTTTAAGGAAGTTGTACAATGTTTTGCTGATAAAGTTGCTCAAATTCACCAGAATCTTGATTCTACATCAGTGAGGTTTAAAATGGTGACTGGACAACATCTTATATTACTTGGAATTTATTCTAGTTTATAGACTTGATGAAACAAATAAAAGGCTTGCGGCATGAGCTCGGCCACTGTAGATCCATGCCCTTCCTGGCTTTTTCAGATAGCCAGTACAGGAGATTCATAACTCCTGTTTGAATCTCCTTTGGTGGATGAGGTTATCCCAGTTGCCTGTAACAAAACGTTAATGTGCCCCCTTCTGAAGGGGGCTCCCCTGGACCCCAAAAACTGGGTGATGATTGTCTAGAAAAAGAAGTTATGGCTCCAATTGTAGACTGCTTGAGAAGAAGAAGCTTATTGGTATCCATTTTAATTGGTTAAGTACATGCCAGGCTAGCTATTGGACTGAGACAACATTAATCACTCTAGTAGAAAAGCTTTGTCACAACCTGGGTGACAGGAATGCATTTGATCCTTTTAGTAACCTTTGGTCTCATTGACAAGCCTGGGTGGTTTGAGGATTGGTGCCACTATTTCACAATGATTTTCCTCCTTCTAAATGAGTAATTACAATCAGTGATAGTGGAGGAGAAAAGTTGGTTCTGTGGGTTTTTGATTCTCTCACTCCTGTTACTTAGCATCTCTGTGAGGCATGTGGTGTGTGGAGAAGTTATCCATCAGTCTGTGGTGAGGTACTATCAGTATGCTTATGATACCCAATGTATATCACTGAGCCAGAAGTGCTGTTGAGGTCTTTGTTAGTGGCTGGAGGCTTTGAGAGGCTGAAAGAAATTGAGGCTGTATCCAAACAAGAAGGACTTACTGTTTGTCCAGAGATCATCTGTTTTCTTATCTACTTCATTGGTTACTCTAGGTAGGCTAGCACTTGCCTTACAAGGGCAGGTCCATCACTTGGTTTTTCTCATAGCCTTCTCATAATCTCTGCACTGTATTCTGCATTCTTATAGCGAGAGCTGTTACTGCTAAGTTACACCAATATTTCAGGCTTTGTTCTAGTTGCCAGTAAGCCTCTGGGTGTAATTCAGAGTGTTGGGTTTAACCCTTAAAGCTCTAAATAGGTTGGCTCCTGGAACACCATCTTCTAGGTAAAATTGATCCATGACATATACTCATTCCATGTCACAATATTGTGGGTCCCCATTCCACACGAAATAAATTCACCAGTGGCCTGGTGATAAGGTTTTTTGATGATGCCCTTCCCCTATGAAATAGCTGTTCCCTAAACATTAGCTCAGTGACAATTCTGACTTCATTCCAGAAGGTGATCAGATTATTCTGAGCAGTTAAAAGTTCACACTGCATTTTTAATCTTTGTTATGTCATTTTTATTCTTATAAACAGTCTTCAAATTCTAGTTGCATAGAAATGTGAGAAATAAATATATTGAATACTTTTTTTTCCCCCCATTTCCATAGGTATAGCTTCAGAACACATGAAGAGTGCTTTCTGTGAAGAATTTGGGCATCATTAGTTCCGGAATCTTTATGAAGCATTTAACATTAAAGCATGGCAGAAAATAAAGAAAGAAAACCTAAAAATGCAGATGTGAGACCCAAAACCAGCCGGAGTAGGAGTGCAGACAGAAAGGACGGATATGTATGGAGTGGAAAGAAGCTTTCCTGGACAAAAAAGAATGAGAACAGTTCTAATGCCGAAATGGCAAACGCCTCAGGAATACCTACGTTAAGTCTAAGGAACCAGGAGAGAAAACAGAGCTGTTCCTCAGCTGAGATGGAGTTGGAACATGTATGTGGTCACAGATTCCTAAGCCGTTCTTTTAAACAGAAATTGCAAGATGCGATGGGACAATGTTTCCCCATAAAGAGTTGTAGCATTCGGCATTCTTCAGGGCTTTCACCAAAGAGAAAAATACATATCAGTGAGCTTATGCTGGACAAATGCCCTTTTCCACCACGATCTGAACTAGCATTTCGGTGGCACTTAATCAAGCAGCACACTGCCCCTGTAAGACAAAAATCTGAAAGCTGGCTAAGTATGGGTGCATCAAAAGGTGAAAGGAAAGATGAAGAACTGAGAGAGATTGAGAGGGCAGATGAACCAGACTCCGATGTATTGCAGGAAAGTAATGTTATTGACTCCTATCCGTGTGATCCTCAAGAGGAATCCGCCATGGGTAGTAAGCAGCTAAAGAGCAGCAGAGAGGAAAGTGACATGGACTCTGATGATGAAGTAGTGACACTCTGCACTAGCTCCAGGAAGAGAAACAAATCACGGTGGGAAATAGAGGATGACCTGCTGCAGCTGCAGATGCCACTCAGATATCATACCCAGATTGATTATGTTCATTGTCTGGTTCCTGACCTCCTTCAGATCAATAATAACCCATGTTACTGGGGAGTGATGGATAAATACGCTGCAGAAGCACTTTTAGATGGAAAGCCAGAGGGGACTTTTTTATTACGTGATTCTGCCCAGGAGGATTACTTATTTTCCGTTAGTTTCAGGCGTTATAGTCGTTCTCTTCATGCTAGGATTGAACAATGGAATCACAACTTCAGCTTTGATGCTCATGATCCATGCGTCTTCCATTCTCGTGACATTACTGGACTTTTAGAACATTATAAAGATCCAAGCTCTTGTATGTTCTTTGAGCCACTTCTCTCGACTCCCTTACACAGAACTTTCCCTTTTTCCCTTCAACATCTATGCAGGACAGTTATTTGTAACTCTACAACTTACGATGGCATAAATGCCCTTCCTGTTCCTCCATCTGTAAAGCTGTATTTGAAAGAATATCATTATAAATCAAAAGTAAGAGTCCTCAGGATTGATGTACCAGATCTACATGCCTAGAAATACATTCTGGAAATTCTTTATAATTATTCTGGGATGTTTTTATTTCTCTCTCTTATTAACAAAATTTTCATGCAAAAATGTCTACAGATCACATTTAACTTTGCCTGAGTCTTATGTTCAAATAGATTTTTACTTCCTGCCCCAATGAACAGGTTTCTGTAAAAACACAAAATTGGTACTAATATTCTATAAAGCTTTGTGGAATTTCAAGGAAGCCATTTTAAAGTTTTCATTCAAGCTTAACTTTTTAGATACGAAGCTAAGTCAAGGTTTGACTTGCCTTTTATAAACTAATTTAGATGCACTACAGGCATGCTTGAAAAACAATATAGTAGTTCTTCCAGAATTGCCAATTTGTAGGATTTTTTAAAAATTATTCTGTCCTTGTTATAACAGTAAAATTAATAAGATTGTGATGCTCCTACCATTCTGGGTACTTGTTGTTTTAAATTTCATATAGGTTGCTTAAATTTTGAGATTAAATGTCACAACCATATGCTGTTTGTCAAGAGTTTTTGGAGTTTTTATCATTTTTAATAAATGTTGAATATATATGTCTAATTTTCTGGGCATCTATTAAGAATCCTAAAACTATTGCAGAGCTTCTTAAAAGATTTTGATACGAAGTTAGTATATGTTTTAAAAAGAACTGTGTGTTGAAGCACAAGTAGATGCTGGTTACACAAACTAATAGCCATAAATGTTAAGCGAAATGTATGAAAATAGTCTGATAGGTGTTTATCTACCTACCTCAGATCATACTCCCCTATCCTACACTCTCTGTCGGGGTGCATTGGATCTTTTTCTCAGTCTGCTGACTGTCCTTTGGTGCTATTAGTTTGTTTGTTTTGGGATTTAACTATTACATAGACAATTTCTACGGGCAACTATAGCTAGGGAAGAAATAGTTAACTATCCATGATCCTTTTTACTTAAAACATATTACCTTGGAATATCCAATTCTCCATGCAGCATTTAGAGTGAAGAAAAATATTTCACAGAGGCCAGTAGAAGTATAGAGAATCTATGCAACCAGCCAATCAACTTGTCTAACCAATCAATCAGAATAGAGCTGGAAGGGACCTTGGAGGTCTTCTAGTCCAGGGGTTGGCAACCTGTGGCTCTGGAGCCACATGTGGCTCTTTCATCCCTCTGCTGCGGCTCCCTGTTCTTGGTCAGCTCCACAATTGATAGGGCTTTCGGTTAGGACAGGTAAAGGAAAAAGGATGCACTAGGAGGAGACTCTAGTGTGGGGGAACCGGACTTCCGGTCAGCAGAGGAAAAAGGATTCCGTGCTAGAGGAGACTCTGTGGTGGGGGAACCGGACTTCCTGTTGGCTCCAGAATTAAATGGGGTCTTCTGATTAGGATCTTTGTGGCTCTTTGAGTGTTTAAGGTTGATAATCCCTGTTCTAGTCCAACCCGCTGCTCAAGCAGGAGACCCTATACCATTTCGGACAAATGACTCTCTAGTCTTTTCTTATAAACCACCTTCTGTACTTACATACTCAGTATAAGTATATATAAGAATATATACCTATACTGAGAATTTCTATAGACATATATATGCAGATGTGGAGGAGAGGATGGTGCGGTATGAGCTTTATTTTAATGGCAGTTATAGTTACAAAAATTGTACGAAAAGAAAAAAGCAGATTTATAGTTCAATATCAAGTGAGATACTGTGAGACTAGAAAGATTTTCCCAAGGTAATGTACTTTTTAAAAAGAATAACACTTCCATGACATAGATGTTGTTCGGAGTGAATCTCATGAGTGTCCTTACATTGTTATGCTTCTGAAACTGCTCCCCAAATTTCTGAAAACAAGAAGTGGCAAAATTATTCTTCTAAATCTGTCTCATACCCAAAAAGCTGCCCTTGGAATCTGTGCATCTTTAAAACCAGTTCATGAGCTTTTTTTTTTTTTTTTAAGATGCTTGGAAGATATACAATAAATCCAGGAAGCTGAGCCTGGATCAATGGATGGAGTGCCATAAAAATATTGTTCACACCTAACAACCACATAGATTTTCTCTCATTCTTCTACGATGATCTCTCCCAAGCCTGGTCTTTCAGGTCTTCCAACAGAGCATCTGTTGCCATTGTAACTGAGTCCATCCACCTTCCTTTTTTGCAGTTGTGGTTTAGGTAATAGTTCCCCAAACCCCTTTTGATATAGTGTTCAAGAATGAACATTGACGGCAGGTGAAAGAATACCCTTTGTCTTTTAAACTTGGTATACCCATATGTAAATTGCTACCTACTGAATACAGATTTGTGTCCATGTGTCTGGGCCACCGTCTTTTTAATACCTTGCAGCAGTCTGCTTGTTTCCTTTCCTTACCTTATCCCTAAATAAAGCAGCTCTCCTATGCACACTCAGGCACACACAACTTATCTACTTTTCAAATTGTTGCCATTCCTTTCTTATGATGCCACTCCAGTGTTTACCAAGCACATATTTTGGTTACTCCTGTCATGCAGGAGAGTGTTGTTATTGCAGATGATCACAATCACCAAGAATAGAGAGAAGAGTGTCCTTAAGATAAAGATTAGAACTATATTACCCTCCCCTTTCAGACCTCAATCTCTTTTGGGGGGAAAGTACAAATTGAACTAGATATACAATTTATCCGTATTCTCAAGGACAGCACTTTGTCCCCTTGGGATTAAAAGTAATGGGTTTTCCACAAGCTCAAGGCTACAAATATCTGGTTCTATTTTAGCAATAATCTCATTTCATTTAGAAACTGAAATTATTCTTGATTTCTTAACCAGATTCTACTTCTTTTTTGTTTGGGCCCCATATTGCTCTTAGGTCTTGTGCTTCCTTAATTATTTGAACAGCAATTCTTCAGACAGTGTTGCAAAGCATTTCTTTGGAAGAATTTGCAAAGCCCTATAAATAGAACTAATGCTTGAAAACGTTATTAATACCAGTATCACCTTTCTGTTCAGGTACACATGAATTACAAATAACAAAATCAAAGGGATGTTATATAAAAACTCTACCAGGATTTATCCTGTGTTATAAAGCGGCTACAGAAAAATAAAAATGTAACATGAATATTTTGAAATATGTATTTACTGATGTTACTCAGATCTGTATTTTTTTTCCTTGAATGATGTATCAGTTGAGGCAATATACATATAGCTACATAGACTATGAAATGCATGCAGTATATTCATGGTGAAGACATAATTTAAAGGTCAAAAGGTTTGAATGGGAGACATTGATATGGACAGGTGATAAAACACATCCTTATGAAAATTTACTAGACTTTCAATTTAGGGACCAAGGGTGGGACTTCTGAACACTGACTGGAAGGAAGAAAACCAGCACAATAAATACAGTTCAGGCCACCTCAACCCGTACAGCTTGTCCATAAGGATATTATGGTTGATGGTATCGAAAGCAACCGATAAGTAGAGCAAGGATGGATGTACTACCCACCCCCATTGTGCTCTTACTATATATCATACAACAGGTAACCAATGCAGTTTCCATCAAATAGCCAGGACTGAAACATGATTGAAAGGGGTTCTGATAATCTGCTTCATCCAGGACCTGCTGAAGCTGTTGCATACCACATTTTCAATGAAAATTATCCAGTATGGTTGGGTCTAACTGCTCTTGAGGAATGTGTGTGTGTGAATCAACACCTCTATAAGAAACAGAAAAATAATCCATAAGGAGCAGTTTATCACTGCTATAATCCAGCCACATATCACCCAGGAGGCCTTTGGCAGCCAGGAAAGACATGAATCTAGAAAGCAGGTGGTTGAGCTCATAGTCATAATGGCTCTGTCTGCTTCCTAAGGCCCAACAGGTTCAGACTCATATGCACCGCCCAGAGTGGCTCTATGAGGAAGATGGGTGGTTTCTAAATATGGTATCTAAAAATAAATTAATATGTCTAGGTCTTGGGCTGCAGCTACCAATTATAAAGATCAATCTAAATAGTAGCAAATTAAAAACACTGAATGTGTGAGCAAGGTATGGAATTCAGTCATGGAATATAATAATGGATACCGGCTTGGAAAGCTTTAAGAAGATGAATAGATTTTTTTTTTTAATGTGTCAAGTGTGATTGGACACATAAGGAATTTGTCTTGGTGCATATGCTCTCAGTATACATAAAAAAAAAAGATAGATTCGTCAAGAATTATAAGATACAAACTTAATGATAGTCATAGGGTACAAATAAGCAATCAGGAAACAATAGCAATATAAATCGTAAGGATACAAGCAACAAAGTTACAGTCATACAGTCATAAGAGGAAGGAAATGGGTGGTGGGAACGATAAGACTAATAGAAGTGCAAACCTATAAATAGTTTGACAGTGTTGAGGGAATTATTTGTTTAGCAGAGTGATGGCATTTGGGAAAAAACTGTTCTTGTGTCTAGTTGTTCTGTGTGCAGTGCTCTATAGTGTTGTTTTGAGGGTAGGAGTTGAAACAGTTTATGTCCAGGATGTGAGGGGTCTGTAGATATTTTCACAGCCCTCTTTTTGACTCATGCAGTATACAGATCCTCAATGGAAGGCAGGTTGGTAGCAATTGTTTTTTCTGCAGTTCTAATTATCCTCTGAAGTCTCTGTCTGTCTTGTTGGGTTGCAGAACCAAACCAGACAGTTATAGAGGTGCAGATGACAGACTCAATATTAGATATTAGACAATTTCAAGAATAATGCAGCTGGAATGCAGTGCTTAGACAGCAGCATTGCTTGGTTCATCAGGATGAATATAAGATTGAAGAATAGCCACTTATCAAGAAAATGGCAATAGCGTTCTGTCATCAGATTAAAATCAGATTGTTTGGTTAATAGTGAAAGGTCAAGAGATAATCTTCCAACTTGCTATAATATTTTTGTTTGGTTTGCTTTTCCTTTTATGCAGGACATTTTACTGTAATATCTGTTTCCACAACAGCAGGTGAGGCCAACCATTTCTCATGTCATACTTTACTATCTCAGCAGACAAACAGTTCATCCAGCTGGCAATTGTGTTGGTAACAATAGTGACTGCCCCTTCTACCCCGTCCATTGTAATGCCTCTGTTGAATAAGGAGGAAGGATTCTCCAAAAAGGAAGACCTCTGTGAGACAAAGGTGATGCCCAAATGCCAAACTGCAGAGAGCACTAAACAGTTTGTTACTAGAACAACAATTTACGTGCCATTGATGTAGGTGCCTATTATCCAAACTTGGCTTGTAGAAAAATCTCTCTCTAAACAAAATATGAAGGCTCAATTTTCAGTTGAAACTTAATATAGATTGACTTTTAGGTCTTGAAGAACTTACAATAAAACAAAAATAAACACAACCCCACCCACCCCCCAAAAAATCACCCAGCAACATCCAAGGCCATCTTTATTATCTACAAAAGCATAAAGCAAATTAGTATAATGCTGAATACTAGTGCTGTCTGTGCTTTAAGCTTGCAAGGTTTGTGAATCTTGTGAATCAGACAGTTTGTTGATTATCAACAGAAATGGTTAGGTGTACATAGTATTTGAGATTCCACCTCTAATATCAAAATTTTCTCTTACTAGGAAATTA